TTCGCGGGAGTTAGCTCTTGTAACTGGGAATTGTGTTTGAGATTCGCGTTATCGGGGTTATAGTATTCCTTGGCTGTGACATGATTTAGAAGTCTGCGAGTTTGTTTTAATCACTTATGTTTTCACCTGGCCTCTTGGTTTGTGACAGGGCACGCCGCCATTAATGATTGCAGATTTGGATACTGCTAGAAATAAATGTTAGTGTGGTGAGCAGGAGCATTATTAGTGAGCGAGTTATTATGAATGTTAAATGCGTTACATATTATTTACATTTCATGACGTATACAGTGTGTCCGGGCATGTAGTGATCAAACTTCAAGGGCGTAATCTATGGTCAATTTTATCGATAAAAATACTTCAAATTTGGGGCTTGACCCATTTATCGCAAAATTACAAGGATTTGAGTTTTTAATTTTTAGTTTTCACCTCTTCGTTCAAAAACAAGTGAAAGCGTGGGTAGCTTAACATTAATAAGCAAATATTTTATATCATGCGATAGCCAATAAAATTATCTTTTAGTAAAAGTAGAAAACAGACACAAGTTTCATACATTTTATGGGAGTAAGAATGGATTTAATTAGAAAAATACCTGACTTTTTTCACTTCTTTTTCAGTTATTTTCCAACACGAGAAAAACCAGGTCGTTAAAGTATATTTTTTTTGCATTGCATTATTAGTATTTGAGCTATTCTACAAAACGAATGTAAATTTATTAGTCTACGTCTATTAGTTTCGACGTAATTGATGAACAAAGATACCCCCCTTCCCAGCGGTTTCCATAGTAATCGGAATAGGTTGTGTGATTCTTTCAGGCAGTGCATTTTCGCATGTCGCGTGCGCTATGGAAACCGCTGGGAAGGGGTATCTTTGTTCATCAATTACGTCGAAACTAATAGACGTAGACTAATAAATTTACATTCGTTTTGTAGAATAGCTCAAATACTAATAATACAATGCAAAAAAAATATACTTTAACGACCTGGTTTTTCTTGTGTTGGAAAATAACTGAAAAAGAAGTGAAAAAAGTCAGGTATTTTTCTAATTAAATCCATTCTTACTCCCATAAAATGTATGAAACTTGTGTCTGTTTTCTACGTCTACTAAAAGATAATTTTATTGGCTATCGCAAGATATAAAATATTTGCTTATTAGTGTCAAGTTACCCACGCTTTCAATTGTTTTTGAAGGGAGAGGTGAAAAGTAAAAATTAAAAACTTAAATCCTTGTAATTTTGGGAGAAATGGGTCAAGGCCCAAATTTGAAGTATTTTCATCGATAAAATTGTCTATAGATTACGCCTTTAAAGTTTGATCACTACATGCCCGGACACACTGTATATGTAATAACTTTAATATTATGTTTATAGTTATATAATCGCCTTTGTTTTACTTTGAGAGTACTTAATTCATTTCACCTGGGTCAGTTGATTAATTTTACTGCCTAACAATTACTATGTTCTAACAAAATTTAATTGTTTAAGTTTAAAAATGAGTTGTGGTTTGTAAATAAACATAACGGTGAATAGTTAATTAAATTAGATAAATCATCAATGATAAAAACAGTATTTATTTTCAAACAACGATCAAGATATCGAATCGACATAGGCGGAGGCAGGTCCGTCACGGCAAATAAACAGGACAAACCGCAACAGAAACAGATTATAATTGTTTCATCCCCTGCGCTCGGTATTTGGGCTCGCCTTAACTTTTAATTACCGGGGTTTTTGTTGCCATTTAAGTTGTGCAAACCGAGATGCAATATTTTTAGTGAAACTGATGCATGTTGTTATATGAAATTGATGCATTATGAAGATTCCTGAATCTTATTGCAAATTTAAATATGTCGATAAATAGAAACTAGAAAAAAAACCTAAAAGCTAGGTCTCCCTGATGTTTGTCAAATCTTCGCACAAGTATCAAACTGGCAACGTCACTCTCAATAATATCCCTCGAAGTTCGAACAGACTCTCAACTAATAGTAGACTAATGTCTCAAGCCTCAAGTCAAGTATCATGGTATTACAGTCGCTATATTTAACTTGCCAATAACCTACTAGAAATATTGCAACAACGTTTTGTTTTTGTTTAATCAATAATAGAGGTATCAGAATATCGATCATTTAAATACGTAATCTATTTTATTCAGCAAACGTGTATCACTTCGTGTTCTGAGTTGTAAGTTGTAATGACGAAAAGCCGAATCAAACTTACCCATGTTCTGAAATCGAGACGCAAAAGTATCAAAGTGTCTCGGTCATAGTATTCAACTTAAAGATCCAACCTCCTTATGGTCCCCAAGATTGCACTATCTTTGAGACAAATAAAGATTATTTTTGCTTTTAATGACTCACTCACTCACTCACTCAATTAAGGTGTGTAGGTTGATAATGTCATGATTCATAAACCATGTCTCGTTCTAGAGTTGTAGATTCGGATATTTCACCACGGTTGTCTACGTCATGAACTCATGACACGTCTGAAAATGATAATAAACAGATTAATTAATTCAAAACCTAGTTTTAGCAAGTATCAAGGGACCCCGATCGTTGTATCCAGTCTGCAGAGCCGTCAGCCGGTACCCGGTTATAACGGCGAACCGCACCGCGACCGGATTATAATTGTTTTATCCTCCCCGAGCCGGGAAACGCCTCTGAACAAAACAAATCCTTGGAAATTCATGTTGAAAAACTGAAATTACGTCCTGAATGACGTATTGGAAATAAACATCACAATTTTCTGGTTAGTAAATGGATGTAGAGTCCTACTAGCCTTCTTCCTTCGTGTTCTATGTCAAAATTAAACACACTAGACTACTTTTTAACCAACGGTCAACTTCAAATATGTAGAGGTTCTCAATTCGGTTGGTGTGTTTTGTTAGAATCCTTTTTTTCAGTGGCTAAAATAAGATTCAGAACATTAATGCCCATGAAAATCATTAGTAAGCTTAGTTATTATCCTAATATGAGTAACAAATCTTTCAGAAGTAGGTTGTAGTAGAATAGGGGTAGGAGGCCCGATACATCACTAAGTAATATCATTTCAATATTGATTTAACTCAAAGTTATAATAACTTTCCGAATACTCCAAATAACACAACATCGAATGATACTCATATCACATTATTTGTATGCCTACTCAAGAACCACTGAAACACAATTCAATTCCCGTATCATAACTTTACTCAACCGAACGGAGGTAAGTCGCGATGATTAAAATCGCGAAACTCGAATAAATCCGAGTGTTATCGAGTTATTCGGACAATTAATATTACTTGTGCGGTAACTTTGCGAGGGGACTCGCCAGATACTGGTATCTATCTACATGGATCATTTTCAGCCTAAGTTAGTCGCGTCTTTTGGAAGCTTGTTTCAGCTGAAATATTAGTGCCATAATAATAATAAATACTCTTTATTGCACACCACATAAAAAGAATAGAAAGAAAAGGAACACATAAGGTACAATTAGGCGGTCTTATCGCTATGAAGCGATCTCTTCCAGACAACCTATAGAGAGGACAGTTACTTAAAACAAACAAACGAAGGGGAAGGCGGTGTCGACACTAATGCCATGTTCGTTATTTACTTTCTTCGAGTACATTCATAGTTGAAACAGTAAAACCAAGTAGGTATTTTACTACTGTTATTTTTACTAGTTACGGAAAAGTTTTAAGGAGGATACAAAAACAGTATTTACAAGATAACAAAACATCTAGCAGAAAATCGTTGATGGTATTGCCTACCCTACTTCGTTCGTTTGTTCGTTTCAGCCAAATGACGTCCACTGCTGGACAAAGGCCTCCTCCAAGGTTTTCCACAATCTCTCTCTTCTCTCCCTCTCTCTATGGTTACTTAAATAAACTTGTTTTGAGTTTATAAGTTAGACTAAACTTACCTACTTCTCGTGCAAGAAAATTACATAGGTATGTTACACATGAAAACCACCCAGACACCCCACATTCTAAATCACCCAGCAGTTGTAACTGCAAATTTTAAGACGTAATAAATCAGGCGGGACCGCGAGCGCACAAACAAACTTGGTAAAATATAGTCTGGCAAGTTGCGGCCAACTCGACAACTCCCGTGATAAGATCCGAAAGTGATGGCTGCCGAGTTTAATCAAAGTGAATTAATCAAATTAATTGTCCTCTAAATTTTGGATGGAAAACTTTACGGTTAATAATACGATAAGCTTAGAATAAGGTGGCTACTTTTTCTGAGAAATGATCTGCGCTTTCTACTATAAACTGAAAACATGCGCCAACTAACACCATGCGCGTATACAGGTGTTGATTTCAATCCTCGCCATATTTATTTAGGTGATCTATTACGACTTTATAAACGCATTATCCACCAAAAAAAATTACAAACGAATGTAGAATTTTTAGCGAATATTTTCCGTGCGAAGTAAACTGTACTGTGGCTCGCAAAACTGCAATAGTACACTGCGGCACCATCGAGCTACGCGGATCGCTCGCTTATCATGTCGGATAGCCTCTGAAGTAAGCCACGTAAAGTAAGTAGTGTAAAAGGTATTTTTCTTTGACTTCCTAAAGTTAAAGTTCGTTTTAAATTTTTTTCGAACTCAATTTTTTTACTGATTCGTGATCAGAATAAGCTACTTAATCAGCTCCCTAAATATGGCGAGTATTGAAATCAACACTCTGTATAAAGGGGGGACCGGAGGGCCGTGTCCTCCTCAGAATGTTCTGGTACACCCCAGGATTTTGGGCTACTCATTCAAAGATGACAGTTGATAGTACTCACTCATAGCTATGATACCAATCTAGCTCTGTAGTTGAGGGTTCCGGGTATAGCTCACTTCCACTTTCGGCTTGATCGTCACTTTCCAGTAGGCTTCTTCATTGTGTTGGACAGCAAGAGCGTTACTAATTCGGCAGACCCTTACCAACACTTCACATCAACACCATCAAGCAATAATTATGTTGCCCTCTGAAAATATACTTTGAAATATGTCCACTAATTTCTGATTTATTCTCCTACAGGCGAGGAGCCCCTCGAAGGTCTGGAAGGCCTGCACTCTGACGAGACGGGCTCCGGGGACAACTCCAACGCGGGTTCCAGCGGCGCCGACGACGACGCCGCGCGGCTCCGGCTCAAGAGGAAGCTGCAGAGGAACCGCACCAGCTTCACTAACGAGCAGATTGATAGCTTGGAGAGAGGTAAGCAACTCTCATAGAATTTATCAATCTCGAATGCTAGCATAATTTCACAAGATCTAAGTTACGCGTTCATTGGTGCGCGCCAAACCTCACGCAACGAATTTTAGTTTGCTCTATGATTTCACATAAGTAGCGCTGCGTAAGTAAGTGCCGGTTTTCGGTGCGGACATTGTCGTCGAACGAGTTGAAAAGCAAATAATTGTTTATTTCCAGAATTCGAAAGAACTCACTATCCCGACGTATTTGCCAGAGAGAGACTTGCTGCCAAAATTGGACTCCCCGAAGCTAGAATACAGGTAAGCATTAACAAGTCGAACCATCCAATTCCTTCTGCATTACTTAACCAAGCTATCATCTACCAAAATTACTATGCCAAAGCTTATAGCTATACGTTCGAGTTTTGTGTCTTCTTTTCCAGAACCGGACTCAATTTCCATCATAAACAATTTGCGTAAATCTGTATCATTCTGCGTAATTTAAGCTATAGCTACAGTTATGTTTCGGTTTTGTATTACTATTTCCAGTACATTGACAATCTCAAGCGCATCTCCTTTCGACACACAATCTTAGAGATCATAACCATCTACACAATAGTAATAGAAAACTTAGCGAACCGTAGGCGTGTTGTGTTAACCTAACCCGACCTTAAGGTGTGGTTCTCGAATCGGCGCGCGAAGTGGCGTCGCGAGGAGAAGATTCGCGCGCAGCGACGCAGCCCCGAATGCGCGTACGCACCGCCGCCGCAGCACGCGCCGCACGCCGCGCCGCCGCACGCCGCGCACCCCACCCCGCCTCACCAGGCCTATCAGCCGCCGCTCAATGTTGATACTTACAGGTAACATTCGATATTTGTACATCACATAGCTGTGAAACACCTTCCTTTTTAAGGTTGACTGATTACCGTAATAATGTCCGGAGTCCATAATTATCCCCATGTTGCTCTTGATAAGCCATTTAATAATTTTAATCAAACAACAACCATCATCACAAAAAAAATACTTAAATAAGACCTAAAATAGAGCCTTGCAGAACACCCCGTGTAACAGTAAACAACTACTTTAGAATGTACGTACACCTATAAAGTGTTACAGTAATTAAGTGGATTATTGTGTTTACTGATCTAAAATTTAAAGCAGTACTTACCTAATTCATTTCAAGTTCTTAGAGAACAAAAATGTTACTTTGTCAAATGCATAAGCAAATTCTAAAATCGAGATGTTCCTAATTTTCAGTCCACTTACTCCTATGGGATACGGTACTGGAATGGTCGCTGAAACACCAGTGTGCGAGAACACTGACTCTGAGCTTTGCAAGGGTGGCTTCTTAGGCTACCCTCGCTACGAGTTAGGCTACAGACAACCGCCGCATCCGTACGCTAACCATCATGGCTACCAGCACGAACCTGCCTCTCCGCCTCCAGGTAAAGATAATATCATTGAAATTTTGTCCGAAGTCATTTCCACCTTTGTTACAAAGCTGTAGGAGCTACATTAGATTGTCAACTTTACGATGTCTTTCCTTTCCAGAATTGGGTGGTCTTCTCGGTGCAGGAGTGTCGGTTCCATTAGCGGTCCCTGGGCAAGACACCCAGCAGTACTGGTCCCGGCTGCAGTGACCCTGGTGGACCTAGTTTCGTTCGGCACCGCTCGGTACTTCTCAATTTCGGTCATAGCTACGGAAATTAAAACCTTACGAGCAATTATTAAAAGGTTTAGCTAGTGGTTCGGCGGGGACTTCAATTTTTCTTTCTTCATAAATCTGCTCCGAGTATTTTATGATTTATTTAATTTATGTACCGATTTGAGTAAAAAACATCAGTTCACAGAATATTATGTCCATAAAATATTTGTTATCTTAGCTGGAGTTATAAATAGAAATGAGACATTCACGGTTTAGTCGACCCGACTATATTATCATTATACACGCATAGTATAAAGAATCGACATATCCGTTAGTTGCCACAAAACAGGAATATGAGCACAAAATGTAGGCTCAAATGTATTTATACTACTTAATTAGGCTATTTCATTCAAGATTCAACCAAAATTTTATATCGATAGAGCATGCACTGATGCACATAAGATGTGCAGTCGTTTAAAATGTATAATTTTGAATGAAATAATTTAATATCTTGGTGTAAGTGTTATATTTTAATTAACACCATAGATAGGACTTAGATAAGACTAATTTAAGACTCTGGCTCTGTATATTTGGTGTAAATGTTTCCTAATTAAGGCCAAAACTAAATTTTATTGATAACTTCTAGTACCTAAATCATCAAAAACGTGTAAAGAAAATTGTCCGTCAAAAAATCAAAATTTAAATTTTATCTTAATGAAAATTCGTTCGAAAAGATATTTTTAAATAAAACAGGGCTTCTTAGTTATAAGTGTCTGTAAATAAACTCATTTGATGTAATGTAATGTTAATTGTGGATCTTTTTCGATGTGACGTTGTAATTTTGTATCAAATTCAAAATAAAGATTACGCATGTAGATAATTATTCAATTTAAACGGAAATCATGTAGTATTAACAAGCCAACTGTTATCATTAATCTCAATTCAGTTGTGGTATGTATTACTTTCGAATTTATTATACCTAATACATAATTGTTAGTTTTAACTGTATAGTATGTGGAGGTATACACATCAAATTGTGAATAATTGTGTGATGTCGATGAAACGTTTTAATAACAGCATTATTTAAATAAATTTTTGGATCAAATTAATTTATTTTTTAATTTATTAGCAACAACTGCAACCAAACCATTTCCTGATCAATGATTCTAGCTAGATAAATAAGATATGGAAGGTAGTTGGTGAATAAAACGAAAATAGAAATAATTATGTACAATCTCATATAATTAATTAAAGCTTTTACCATACTACAGCTACCAGTACCTCAGTAACTTTTCTTAAACTGTAACATGGCAAAAAAGAGCAGAAACTAATTATTTTTATTTTTAAACAGACCAATGTTCAACCTATGCACCTTTGTACTGCTCTTAACCTTTAACTATGGACGTCGGGTCTCAGAGGCCCACCCCCCTTTCCGATTTCTCGGTTTAAACACCTTCCCGCCACGTGCTGCTCTCGACCATCTCAGTAGCTTCAGTTTTAACTGTGTTTGGACCGAGGAGGCATAAAATCGCGTCTTCCGACACTTATTACGTGAGTAATAACCATCCAAAATTTTGTACGGGCCTGGGAGACCCGATGACTATAATTTCCATACAAACATACTTGTATGGATGTGACTTGTCAACTATATTTTTTTTATATTATATTATTATAATCTTAAGTAAAATGCTCTAGTTTAAGAATACTTAATGGCAGAAAGTATCTGAGTACATCAGCTATATTATTAGCCCAACTATCTAAAGAACATTTTAGGAGTAAGGTATTACTTGTAGACGATTCTTCTTTTGAGTTTAGATGTCTTAGAATTCACCATTGGTGCAGATTCCGATTCTGAATGGTGTACTTTTTGTCTATCAAAGCTCTCAAAGAAAGATGACACATGCCTGTAGATATAATTTGTTTTTAGTGTTCTAGGCCACTGTGTATAATTTTAGTAACTTTAACCCTTGTCAAAATTTTTAATTTATGTCCTTCAGAAATTTTATTCATGTTTTTATGTTACATGGTTATTAATTAGCAAGGAAAAAAATATTACTTTCATTGATTAATAATTGACTGTAATCGATGAGCCCATATGTGATGGCAAGTCATGAACACTGAAAAATGTCTAAGTTTTTTAAATTAGCAAAAAAATAATTAAATGATGGTTAAAATTTGATTACATTTACCACTAAATCCTTTAATAATAGTTATAAGATATATATCAACTCTTTAATAAATTCAAATTAATTCAGTTATGAAAATAAGAAGAATTTTAGATAGGGGTCTGTGAGACCCGACGTCCATGGGAGTGTGATTATTTTTTCACGTCCATAGTTAAAGGTTAAAATAATATTTACATACATAAACAACATTACGTATGTATTTGTTTTTATATCTCCCGAAATTGAAGATTTTGTTTGTACTCAAAAGAATGAAACTTATGTCTAAGTAAATGTGATAGATAACTTCAAAATATCAAAACCTTACTGAAAGTTATTTCACAATAAAATAAAAAGCCTTAATAATGCAAAAGGCTGCAGCCCTACTTCCTGTTCTAAACAGGGTAAATATTAGAGAAGATCTATCGACCTCTAATATCTTAATTAACTTACATAACTTTATTGCACACAAGCTTATTGCCTGAAATTCTCCTAATATAAGTACCTAAATACAAGACAAATGAAACGAAACAAGTTCTTAAAGATAGAAAATTGCAACGTAACTCTACTCTCTTTTGCCAGGTAGAAACACGTCCTAAACTTGTAGCCTACATGTAAATTTGTAGTCTTTTCTATTTTTTCGATTATGAACACAACCCGCGTCCCGCGACCTATTTAAAAAAATCATAAGTCGTCATCTAAAAGCGAATCGATACTACTAATCAGGTCCTTGCCTTCACTATCCGCCTTGTTTGCATTCCTCTGACAACTAGCTACCACATCTGGGACGTTTTTAACTAATTCTAAGTCTAGATCAGATATGGTAATTTCGTCACTATCATCATCATCATCACTCAAATCCACTATGGCTACGGGATCACCTATTCTGGTAGAATCCACATCAATTATTTCAGTATCAGAAATTGCACTCACATCAGTATTTTGGTTGTTGAATTCAACATTCACAATTTGTACTTCCGAATCAGAATCATTATCTACATTAGTGCTAGAATCTACTTCATCATCTTTACTTTCATTGTTGTCCTTGTTGATGCTACTATTTCTAATGAGTCTAGGCTTAGTCGTTTGCTCGTTTACTTTGATTCTCTTGAATTCGAAGCAATTGTCGACTAATTCATCATCTTGTATTTCGTACATGTCGCTTATTTCAGAAATCGTTCGTTTCCTGCCGACATTTTCTTCGTTTGGTTTTTGATCCACCTTAGTGGTGCTCGAAACGACTGGCGCATTGTGATCGACTTTCTTATACACTATAGAGTTGCTTCTGACCACTTTGATGATTTTATTGCCCGAAGTGGTTTCAATGGTCTCCTGCGTGGACGATTTACGTTTGCGACTCAGGTTGAGAGTGATCGGTGTGGGGTGGACGATAGTTTCTTTCTTTCGGGCGCGGATTTCGTCCAGAGACAGGACCTTGAAATCTAGCGAGTTGCGTCGCTCGGCGACCGGCTGTTGCTTTTTACCTGAGATCTCGTCGAGCGAGAGCCTATCGTACTTGGTGTTGAGGTTGGTGCGCACTATTTTGCGGTCCTTGGAGGGTTCGGCGGGCAGCGCGTCGTAGCTGTAGAAGGCGGCGGCCTCGGCCTGGATCCTCTCCAGGAGGAGCAGCTCCTGCGACTTGGAGCGCGCGATGCGCTGCGCGTCGTCGGGCGACACGGTCTTGGTGGGCGTGGACGAGGGGGCGCTTTCATTGTCGGACTCTGCAAGAACACACAGACCGCTTAGTGATCGATCGGATGACTTGCATGATTTTCGTAATTAATTTTGAAACTACCCGTCTAATGCATGCTGTGTGTTCTTGTCGAGTCGACCTGAAATTCGGGGTGGGCGTCAAAAATAATTACAAAAATCATTATTATGGAACATTTTTATTTACTCGTTGGTATATTAAACACAATTTGATTAAACGAAGCCAAAGTACCTGTTCCGATACGAGTTCCTATATCAGTTTGAATGTTAATTAGCTTAAAAAAGGTCTTAACACACGCGATACTAATATTAAGATAGTTTTGAAATTCTTATATAACGTAAGACTAAGATTAAAATAACAACAACCCTTTTAAACTCAAACAAGAAACTGACAGTACCAGCACGATGGAAGTCACATAGGGCATAAACTACATGTTTGGTGTCGGCGCCGCGCCGGTGCTGTCGTGGTTACAACTATGTTACGGCACTCCAAGTCCAGAGTAGTGTCGCAGAGTGAGCCGACCAGTGCAGCAAATCCAAGTTCCCTACCACGCCTCTCGTATTACAAATACTATAAAATTTACCTTATCATTATTACTCGATTTGGACAAACGATTTCATAGCAAGGTACATTTCACTTGACGCTTTTTCTGAGCAAATCGATTAATAATTCACATTTTTTAATTAAGGCAGCAACCTAACTAGACATTTTAATACAAGCCCTCTTATTTTTTAAATCTGAATTCATTACTTTCGTATTGAACAAGATGCAATCAAAGGTCAAAAATGCCCGAATCAGATGCATGTAAAGAAACTGAACTTGAGCAAAACATTCCTTGGTTTCAGTGCAGCCTACTTAAACGCTAAGTGTACCCTGTGATAGTAGACTGAGAAAATATTACTTGCATCGTTATTAAGTTCAAATACTCAATTAACGTTTTAATTACTTAAGTAATGACAGTAAAGAGGGCTTGTAGTAACATGCACGGACATAAGAACGACGGCAAATACAACCTCGCTCGATTTGGGAATCCCAATCGTACGGTTAACAGAAAACTTCAACATTCCAATCAACAATTAGTCTAAGGATAAATAAATAGCTTCTAATAAAAAAAAAGACGATACTACAACGCTATGCTAAATGTAAAAGTATTGCTATGTTACGAGCGAAATCAACATTGTTACAATAAAAAAGTTGCATCACCATTGAGCTGCCTCAAGATTACAACCGCATTTGTACTAAATCACACCTCTTCGCCAACTTGACGATTTCAATTCTATTTGCCTATTTTTTATTCATTACAAAATCAATTTACTACTTTATTACATAAGTTACATTGTCTGGCAATCGCTTTTTTTCTCAAGACAATTTCGAGTTCGTAAAAAATTAGCACATTAGAGCTATACCTCCCCACACCTTACTCTATCCTTCGGCCAAGAGCTTGCTGATATACTTTTAAATATTGATTAGTTTTATACATAAATAATGACTAGGCATATCATGGACCATGTACAAATTACTTTTAAAAGAACAGCTTCCTTATCCAGTTCATGCTTTCTGCTGATTTTTGTAATAAATATAGGAACTTTACTCGCAGTGCAAAAATATATAAAACGAAAACATTATATCCCCCAGAATGTTCACGGAAATTTGTCTAATTTTCTATACTAATTATTCAGAAGTGCTAGTTATAATAATGGTAAACCGGAAGCATTCTCAAATATGTATTATCAAAAACCGCTAAGCATTACATCTCTTTTTTTTAATTAATTTACTTATCATTTTTACTTTTCTAAAATTGGTAATACAATCTTATAAGCACAAGAATTTTTTGTTACAGAAAACACAGCCTTAGTTTAGTACGGCCTAATGTCTGTGTTTCCTACAATCGTACCTACAAATACATTTTTTTTTTTAATTTTATTAGCTCTATCTATTTCTCACGGTGCGAATATAAAGTATATAGGGCCCTGTAGCAGTGTGTACGTTATATACCGCTGAGGCCCTTAAAACATCCTACATACTAACATACAAACAATTTAAAGGCATAAAGCTTCTTTTTTTTTTTCTTTTTTTTTTCACTTATAATAATGAGTTACAATATGTCGTGTATATATATTTTTATTTGTATTTTATATGTTGTTTAACCTATTTATTATGTACTTTTCTATCATAGACAAAGATTATATCAACATCTATTTAAAATGTATTACAGTGATATTTCAAATAAGTGTTGACATTATACCTCTCAGTCAACATGCATTCAAAATGCAACTGTAATAGTCTAATAACGTACGAGTTAAATAAATTATTACAGTATACTGTAAACAAAAAAGCAAAAGATCTTTATGAATCTAATTAGCTAAGATATGAAGATTATATATTATTATACTTTAATTTATTGCACATACAAAAATACCGACTCCACGCCGTGCTCTCGGGGCAGACAGTCGGATGCAAAGTGTAATAAATTCTATGTTGGAGGACTTCAGTATCAAATCCATGTCTATGGTATAAAGAAATCTTGTCTATGTTATAGAAATAACCAAAACGACGCTTCTCCCAGCAAAATAAAATGCATCGTAAATAAAAACATCTATTACAACATATCGGGATCTAGTTTCAACTACGTCGCAATAAATAGTAGTTTCTCTCAACGTAGATCGTGAACAACGAAACCAAACCCATCTAACTCTACCCAATAAATACTATATAGTAATATTTAATTGACTATTGACATAAAGAAAACAAAATACTACATTATACTTTAATATCAGTATAAACAGGCGTTAGTCGCGCCACAAACCAGGAAAACGAAATAAAAATATTTTCTTTCTACAAAACTTACTAAATTAAAGAAATAATAAAACCACGCCCCGTCACAGTAAAAACATTGTAAACAATATACCATCCCTGGTCTGTGCATCGACTATAAAGCAAGTAAAAACGTCCTTAATAATTCGTAACATGTGATAAAATAAATATTTTTAAACTAACCACCTAACGGACAGTTCTGCGTTTCTTGCTATTTTTATTATTGGCACATGATGCAACAAAATTTATTACGTTTCAATGATGCCAAAAGAAACATTCGTAATACTTCACGTAACATATTTACTATTATAATTTACTCACATAAAACAGGCTATAGAGAAATGCCAAACAATATAAATCCTCCCCAAGCGTTACATTACTTTATAGTAAAATGAATAAGTGAGCGTTCGAAGTATTTCTAGACATCGTTAAATCTTAACCCTACTTCAATAGAATGCAGAGTTTTCAATAGAAACAGCTATATTTTATATTTAAGTATGTAGTAAATACTATTTTAAGTAACTGCGTTAACTTACACGACTCTTCTAAACATTAATCTTATAATGTTAAAGAGTGTTTTGCAGAGTTCAATGCACATGCAAAGTCTTGCAAAAGAGTATAAGTTGTATTGAAAACTCTTGATACATTCGTGTTACACAATTTTTTCATTGGCTTCGTAACACTAATCACTTTTAAAAATCGTCGAATCCACTAATCACTATTAAAATACAAAACCTTACTTCGCACATTCCACTTAATGTTTTCAAACTGTCCTATATGAAAAATACTCTCGACGACATTTAAAAAGTAGATAGCCAGTGAAGCCTTAAGCAGCTACCATTCGATTCGGAACGCTCGCATATTTTGGGACAGCCTTTTTATTACAACCATTTCATTCGTTACAATAAACACTTAACTTTCAACCGTTGAGACCACTATTAACTCTTCCGGATAAAACCTTGGTGGTTACAACGGTTATTATCAAGATATAAAAGCAATTGACCGAAATTAGAATAAATCCATTTGAGCATGATCGACGTTAAAACAAAATACTGAGTACAACATAACCAAAACTTGTGCGAATCCAGCGCACTTATGATGAAAGTTTCAATTCCTTCAAATCTAAATAAAATTTTAATTCCAAACGACAGTTGTACGTCTCAAACACATAGATGTCTTACAGCTCACTCATTGTCTATGACTCAATTCATTCAATCCATATTCTTAAATCATTTCAACATGACTATTTATAAGTCATTTTTAAAGTCTCAACGGTCATCACAATAAATTTCTAGATCATCTCAATCAGCTTTTCAAAGTCTCAAACAGTATCGAAAACAATTTACTAATTATTGTTTTATAGTCACGCGGCTAAGTCACATTAGCCGACAGCACATTATAATATTGTACACAGCACTCTTTTTTAGAGGTAAGACGCTGTTCAGATTTTATGCTGTCGCCTTTACAAGTCAACATTTGCCGCGCAACTATAAAACTAAAGCTGGACACCCAACTACTGACATCATTTACATCCAAAAACTGACCATGAAAGTGAAATCTAAAGTTGAAATTCATTGTACAGTCATCGTCAAATATTTTGTGAGACGGAGAGTGAGCAAAAAGTTGACAATACAATAAGTTGCAAACTTTTTGATTACTTTAGTTGTAACATTTGAAGCTGCCTCTACATGGTCAGTTGACCGTCACTGTCCAGCTTTATGTCCTAGCGGGTCCCAAATCGCCTGGTGGCTGCTTAATACATGTAGTTTCAGTAGAGCCGCATACCTTCCTCGAAGTTGACGACGAGCGGGTCCACAGGCAGGGCTGCGTAGCCCGCGTCATGCGGCGGCATCACGCGCCGCCCGAGGAGCTCGGATGAAGCCGGCAGCACGCCCAGAATGGCAGAGTCCAGCACTACTGCGGACAAATGCTCTGTATACTACAAAGTTGCAATCCAGTCAAGCATGGATCTATGTAGTTTAAAAGGTTGTGGACAGGTCACAGAAAACTACTCAAGGTATTGGATAATCATGCCTATTATCTGTGGTTGGAAGTGGATCAACGCCCGAGTCCAAAGTTACAATCAGATCCCTCTTTCACACTGATTGCACTTCGAGCAAGTGCCCTAGCACTTGCGAGTCCTAACTCGCCAAAGAAAGGATACCCCGTCTACTCTCAAAAAAATGTTAACCTGTGAAAGTTCAATAATTTTGTAATTCCCTTTTTTGGAAGAAAATATACCTGGTATAATTGCCCAGCGACTCCAGTAGGTTAAAGACGACCCTGGTTTCAAACCAATTTTCAATCTATCTATATCTATAAAAGCGAAAGGTCACTGATTGACTAACTCATCACGAAATCTCAGAAACTACAAGTGCTAGTCTTAGGATCGTAGGATTTTGCAAAATTCAACTCCTAAAGGGGTAAAACGGGATCCACGCGTACGATGTCGCGGGCCGCTGCTAGTCTAGTATAAATAGCGCCTAAGTAATGCTTAAGAAGAGTGTTGCACCACCTAACTTTGACCGTAACTATTACGATAACCGGTGTTTTTTGTGTGGCGTTTGACAGATTTTTGACGTTGTTAAAGTCAAAGTAAGATGGTGCACTTTGACTTTAACAACGCCAAAAATCTGTCAAACGCCATACAAAAAAAAACACCGTAATCGTAATAGTTACGGTCAAAGTAAGATGGTGCAATCACGCTCCAAAGAATCTGGAAATTTATAGATTCAACGGGACTAAGCAGTGAACTCTAAAGACAAGGGCTGCCACAATAGATCAAACCTGGTCGAGCTGGCGCAAATGAAGGCCCAAAACCAATAATAATAATAATAAGATGGTGCAACCCAGCCTAAACGTGTGCATACCTTGGCGTTGTTGCTGCCACAGGAGCGGCACCGGCGCGGGCGCTGGCGCGGGCGCGGGCACGGACGGCGCCATGCCCATGGGCACTGGCTCGACGCCCTCGGGCAAGCTGCTGGCGGCGTTGACCTGCAACAACAAACAATGTTAATTTATATCGTGTAACAAGACCTGAATCAAATTACTTTTTCTTTTATATTTAAATTGATTTAATTTATAGCCTGACCAGGAACATAAAAACCCTGGCATAGAGGCGCGTCAATTGCATTTGATAGTGCAACACTGAGTACAGTCGTACCTGTGTTAAATTAATAGGCTAACTTTATGTATCAGGATTCAGGATTACGGGCTAATTTGATATTTTCATAAATTAACGAAAAAATATTATTATAGGTAACCTGATTTAAATAAATTAAATGAAACCATCAATCGAGCTAGAAGAATTTATTTTATTATTCATCAATAATCAAATTCAGAACTTGAATATTCAACTGCAATGTCTGCTCATGAACGCTTCAAACTCGGTACTTCTTTCCCAATCCCATAAAATTCAACACTTAGAAAGTGACAAAAAATTTTAAAATAGGTAGTTGAAACAAACCACAGCTAATTTTCATAGTGGACTGTACTATACGATAAACATGTCAGTCAATTTGACAACCTTTGTCGGAAACATTATTCAATGAAAATATTGTCCGAACCCTTAGTATTTCTCTTCGACAAATACTTTAACACATTGTGAACCACTTTTCTTTCACGACTATAAAAATATTTTAGCAATTTAATTCATAAAACCAATTGCGCACATTTAAAATAAAGTTTGTTTACACTTTGACAGCAATAGACTGACATGCAAGGTGACATGTCAATGAAGTTTTCAGTTACTGTTGCCATTAAAAGAAATTAGTACCATTAGTTTTCCGCAACATGGCGAGGGTTTTTATGTTCCTGGTCAGGCTATATTTATTATTTTATTTAATTTAATAAAAATAGGCTGAAAAATAACATATCTAATGTAATTATTATCATTTATACTTGTCAATTAATGTTAAATTAATATGGAGAGTGGGGATATTCTACCACAAGTTTTTATTTAATTAAAAGAATTCCTCGATCGCAATATAGAAATGTAAAAACACCTGCTTATAAATAAAGAAATTTGAATTTGAAAAATGTTCGTTTGAATCATTGGTCCGTTTCAACCAAAAGACGCCCCGTTGCTTGATAAAGGCCTCAAAGTATTTTAACGGTGTTCGTTCGATCGTTTCAGCCACATGACGTCCACTGTGGACAAAGGCATCCCTCAAGGAGTTCCATAACGATCGGCGCTGCCCGCATCCAGGTTCTTCCAGCGACCTTGACCAGATCAGTTTACCTAGTGGGGGGTCCCACGCTACTCTTCTGGCCCGTGGTCCTGCTACTCGAGAACTTTTCTGCTCAAACGGCCAACAGGTCTGCGAGCTATGTGCCCCGCCCACTGCTACATTATTTTAGCAATTCTGCGAGCTATGTCGGTCAGTTTGATTTTCTTGCGGATCTCCTCATTTCTGATTCGATCACGCAGGGAAACTCCGAGCATAGCCCGCTCCATCGCCCTTTGGGTGACCTTGAGCCTTCTTATGAGGCCCATAGTAAGCGACCACGTCTCGGATCCGTATACCATCACTGGCAACACACATTGATTGAATACCCCATTGGTGTTTGTTTCCCTAATATAAATAAATAAATTTCCACTTTTCCCTGTCACTGGCTATGTGCATCCAATTTTTCCCTGCCTTGTTTGTTATGTCATCGGCCCATCTTTTTCGGCCACCCTACTTTTGGGCCTTGCCATTTTGTTGTTTGATAGGGCAAAATCAAAATGAGGTATAGTCTGATCTGTGAGCACGTAGAATTTTGTCCAATGTCCAACGCGTAATTATATTGCTGTCGCGACTGTGCGACGGGCGCCCGCAGTGAGTGTGCGAGCGCGACAGCAACATAGTTACTCGCGAGCGATAAGGATGGGTAGCTTGGGGTCATTGGACAAAATTCTACGTGCTCACGGACCAGGCTTTAGAAGGATAACAGTAATATACTCACTGGTACAGGGGGGGCGGGCTGGCTCGGCGCGATGCCATCGGTGCGCGCGTCCGGGTTCTTATGCATGAAGGGGCAATGCTTCTTGCGGCAGCCTCCGGGCTGGTTCTCCCAGTAGCAAGGGATCTGCTTGCGGTTTTTCTGTAAACAGCAATCGTATGCTCAAGATTGAGTCTAATGTGTGAATTGACACTTGACCTTCATTGGTTGGGTTTTTAAGGCGGTCAAGCTGTAGATCCTGGCTACACAGGAGTTGCAGTGGTGGGAACGAGAGGTGTGAATAGTCCCATAATGTGTGAATTGACATACTTGCAAGCTAAGAAAGTGATTACTAGTAATAATTCGACATTCAAATGAAAGAGAACTTAATAACTTTGGGTAAGCACAACATTACAGTCCACTTTATGTTTTCCTAAATAAAATAGTTTAAAACAACAAGATTTATGGGCGAATAAGCTATCAATGTAACTGGGTGTAAAATTGTGACATATTTACAGAATACAACCTCAGATTAACTCAATTATCACCAAATTCTAAATAAAGAACCGTATGTTTATCCATTGTTAAACGATAGTACTATAAAACTTAATAAAATCTCACAAAGTGGCCTCCAAATAATTTCAATGTCATCATGACATCATCAGTATAAACAATGCAGACGACCCAATCACATCCAAAATTGATGCAACCATTACAAGACATGATTAATATTATAAAAGCTACAGTAAAGTATTGATTCATCAACTAAACACAAAAATTCTTAAATTATTTGACTAATTTGGTATTTGACGAGTAGGTCATTTTATATGCAAATTAAGAAAGAAAAGAATTTAAGTCTTGAAATTGAAATAAAAAAATTGTGTCTTCTTGTTACTTAGCAAAGATAACTCTAATTATCATAATAATACTTTCAATTGTTTTAATTCATAACATAATATTTTTATCATATTACATAATTGATAACCAATAACATGTCTGTGACGATTACTAAGTTTTATAACTACCCGATATTGATAATATAATTTACCTACAATAGATAGGTGCTTACAAAGTATGATTAGAGTGCAATAAAATCATTTGTACAGTCTTATCAGAAAAACTGACAACCAATGCTTACACCTACATACGCTGGTTAGTGGGCCAATGGGCGAAAATCTTCAAAACCAGTAGAATGAATAGTACAATCAGCTTCAACTTCCAACAACTTATGGCAGCTCTAACTACTTTACTAACACGTTAGTTAGTATAAAATATAAAACTGACCCTTAGCTCCATGTGGCGCAACTTGCAGCGCTTGTCCAGGCACTTGCCTTGCTGCCACGCCGTGCACATCGTCTCGCAGCCCAGGGCAGATGGTTCATGGCGGAATACGCAGTTGTCTCCCTGAAATTACCAGTGTTTTACAAACTACTTCAGTAAAGCCCTCAAATCTTTGGAGATCTACAAGTGTAATGTTTTTAATATTATCCTGACAGTGCTAGGACTTTGCGAGAAGCTTTAAAAAACTAAAATCAAAAGGAAAGTCAAGATGTAGTCCAAAAATAAACTAGCCAAGAGAAATTTTATAAAACCTATAGGGAATTATTTAATCGATTCTTACCTTGGTACAAGTAGAATAGTAGTAAAAGTAGCAGTCATTAAATTTTCTCGGAGACTCCATGGTGTTTTCCGCGGTTTCCGCCGCCCTCCAGTACCTGTGAAATGCAATAAGTCTCTAATCCAAACGCCGACACAAATAAACACTTTACGTAAGGAATACAAGATGATTAGCTAGAAATCACATCTACAACACCAAAAGAACTAATCGAGTAGGTATTAACACGTGTTAAAGCTTCTAAGAACACAAAACTAAGATTTTTCCATTTTGACAAATTGTGCAGCACGTCGCGGCTAAACTAGATCCAATTTAAAAGTAACATTACGCAGAGTTATGTTAACGCTATTTACTCACCGTGGTTTAAACAAACTAAAAAATAATTAAATTAAACAACAAATATCTACAACACGACGCTATCAAACACAAAATAATACGAACGTCAATAATAGAAAGAAGATGAAGTAGATATGGCGGACATGTGGCGGACTTTCATTTCATTTTGTCCACGAACCGCCCATTGGCTGTCGAAATGTAGGCCATAGACAAAACACACAACTGCAGGTGTCTAAATAATTTAAGAAAAAAACTAAGTGACAGCTCATCACCCAATCGGGAAGAGGAATAAAAAAGTAAGCTCAAATTTTATTGGCTATCAAGTTTAAGGTGCGATTGCATCCCATTCGCGCATTGTATTAAACAAAATTAATTATTATGTACTCTGTGCAAAAATCGTTACAACATCGAGTGAGGTTTCATACAAGATTTTATAAGAATCAATTTCTTTCTAATTTTCTTCAGATTGATGTTTAATTTTATTCGATGTTACAAAATAAAGTTTATACGAATTAAAGTTTCATTTATTTATATAAGTACTAATTAAAGAAAGATGAAGAAAAAAGATGGAGCAAACATTCCCGATCCCATACAAGTCTGGAGCGATGACGCCCGACGCGACGCCGCGATGGCTCTAAAAGTTTTATAGGCGTTCTCATTATTTATAAGCCGAATCTCCATCGCGTGTTTGTCCTACCAAATGTGTAGGAATGTTTTTCCCTACACAATCAACAAAAACACGATGTCAACATTCAACATTTTTTGTGGGCAATTTTGTTGAATGTAGACATCGTGATTTTGTTGATTGTGTAGGTAGGGTTGCCAGGCGTCCGGCTTTAGCCGGACATGTTTGGCTTTTTAGGGTCTTGTCCGGCCAAATATTGCCTTGTCCAGCCTGTCCGACTTTTTATTTGGTTGCCGCGCCAGGCGAAAGTCGAGCCACAGAATCATACCTATGAAGCGCGCACGCATCAGGATGTTGGTTAGCAACCGATGATGATAGTAAATTTCACATCATCACGCCGTCACATGTCCGGCTTTTAGGGTAAAATGTCCGGCCAAATGAAACACAAAGTCCGGCTTTTGTGATTTTGGACCTGGCAACCCTATGTATAGGAAAAAACATTTAACATTCCTCTATGAGAGTATTTCTCAAAAAAAATGTACGTAACGAAACGGTAGTAACGAAATAGTAAGGCCATAAGGCTTGTTATACATTGGCGAAATATTTGAATGCTCTTTATTTATTCAATTCGAAATATTTGTAAGTATGCACCCAAATACGGGGTAATATTAAGGGGTTAGAAATAAAATAAGGAAGTAATCATTCATACTATTTTAATAAAATTATTTTTTGTTCCATCATGTTTATCCATTTTGAGTCGTTCTCTGTAAGCTTTTTGCCTTTCGGCATTGGTTTTTGGCGGCATTCCTAAAAAAACAAAAGAAGTAATCACATAAAAACGTAATCTAAATGATTTGATATTTTTTTGCTGGTAACACTTCAGTAAAGCAGATAGTATCCAATCCTTTTGTTATTAACGCTCTATATTTTTTTAAATAAATTAAGTAGTGAATATTACTATGCTTAGTCAGGTAATAACAGTATACACTCAGCATTATGTTGTACTTTTTCGTAACGTAACGAAATTCGTAAAAAACGTAACGAAATATTAGACAAAATGAGATCAGAAACAAGTATTTTTTTGATAAAATTTGTTACAGCAAATATAAAAGCTTACTAAATGTTCGTACCACACGTATTACAAAAAATGGTTAAACGAAGACTTACCGTTCTATATAAAATCGCTGATTTTACTGCCTGTTACGAAAAAGTAATCCCACAAAACACACACGTTTTCACTAATTTTCGCGATAGATGTAATGGCGGAGACGTCAGGCCAACAGCCATTCAGAGTGCAGCTATTGTTGTCCGTGTAAAATAAATACGGAATTGTTCAGAAACCATGGGAAAGTAGAAATAAATCGTAACTAAAGAGTAAATAACGAAATAGTAAATGAGAGCGACTCATTTTGTTTTTTTGCTTTAAATTGCTAATTCATTATGACACCCCATAGAAAATCAATTTGATACAGAAACTGCGATTACTGTAGAACGATAATACAAAGAAATTTACAATAATTTAGTTACGTATCACATTTTATGAAACAAAAATACATGAAAAAGCTAGGGTGGCAAACAGGTTTTTGTATGAAAGGTAAAAAAGGACTATTTTTAAAATATCTAAATATTTGGTAATAAGTAGGATTATAGCTATAATTCTTCGTTATCTTAAAGATTAATATTCATACTTCAAAATTGTGTGTGTGTTTTTTTTGTGTGATGATTTATAAATATAAAACTTTTGAACTGTTTCAAAGCACACTTTTTTTTTTCAAAATGTACATTTTTTTTGAGAAATACTCATGAGCAAAACACGCGCTGGAGACCCGGCTTTAGTTATGAAATCTGCAGTAGAAAACTCTTGCGCTGGGCCTCCTCACTCAGTTATTTTAGGGATCATGCATGGTCTTTTCTCCTGTATTTACAAGACATATTGCGAAAAAATATTTTTAATTTTGCAGGGTAGTTAGACAACTTAGGATATTTATGATAATTTTCTTTTCGTCTCCTACCGCATTCATTGAACATAACAAACGAAGTTATATTTTAGATTTTAAACAAGTTTTTTAAGTAAAAAGTAGAGAACTTCATAAATCAAACTATTGAAAAACTTAAAACTTACGGATAATTGAAGTTCATGCCCCACGTATTCAAATCGGAGAACGCAGCCATAACTTCTCACTACAATACAATACACAGACACTACACAAAACGCACTGCTTCACCGCAAGCAGGAGTTATCACTTCCACGGTTAGGAAAGGACTGACGGATAGGCCGGAGATCGGAGAGAACTAGACTGTCTTAGGAGCGCCCGGGGCCCTTCCGTTCCGTCGATTGGGTTTACCGCTTGCAATAAATGTTTAACGAAGATAATTAGCTGATGATGCTAATGATGTAATCATTGAGTATCATCAGTGGATAAATGGCAAAAAATAACACGGTTCACTTTCTCCCTGTGTACTGACGGACCCTATGTGTATTGTGTTGCGTGTGTTGCTACATGATGTAAGTTTTTAAATTCTTTATGTGTTTTACCTATAACATAGTACTTAAAAGATGTTTCGGATACAAAAAACAGCTATTTAGTGTTGTATGAACTTTATTTATCATTATTACATCATGATTTTACAATATTAATTTACATACAATAACCTCGTAAGACCGAAGAGTAAATTGTGTCGACTTCTAAGTATCGCCGAATGTGCTTTCAGAAGAACGAATAATTTGAAGTAGTAAACGCCGAGCACTTCGAGTAAAAAAATTTCTATGTTAGAGATTTTCTTTTGCATTCATATTTTCAGGGGCCCTATATAATAGTGCATAGAGCTTATTTTAGGTGAAAAATAATAAAAAAATGTTTTCTCTTAAAAGAACATTCGGTATTACAGACTTTAAAAAGGAAAAGTAAATAAATTGTGTTTTATACTTTAAAGTAAAACATAAATGTAACCTTATTAATAAATTAATACTACATAAAGATACAATAAGGGTGAAGCTGCGGGCAAAAGCTGCATAGTAGTTTATACATCCAAATACATATGCTTAATAAATGATGTTATGATCCGTAATAAGTTTAATCTCACGTGAGCGAAGCCGCGGGTAAAATCTAGTTATTATTAAATTGACCTACATCTTTTTTGGGTTGTCTGTGGGGTGAGTGATTATTTAATTTTGTTCGGGTATCTGATATCTATTTGTCTGTCAAACTATAAACCTTAGTTTAAGATTATATTATCTGTGGTTTAAGTAATTTAAATTAATTACATTTTAAGTTAATTAACTTTAATTTAGTCGTCAAATGTGGCTCAACTTTATAGGGTGTCAAAATGTATTCTCATAATAATATTATGTAAGTAAGTTATTTGTAATGTTCTAGTTTTCATCTTTTGGAGTTTGCGTCTCGGTAATCCGAACGGTAGATTTACTTTAAGGATATTCCAGGGAAACCCATAATTAGCCATACTTATAGTTAAGTTACTTTAAGATTTATTCATTGTAACGCCGTTGGTTCCTAAATAAAATAAAAAATAAAAAAATAAAATTATGATGAGAAAAATTTGTACATTAAGAACCAATACTGAAGGGAATGTTTGATTTCATATTTCTAATAACGAGGGGAGTAAAATGTCGCGAAATATAAATATGGCCTCATCTCAGCTTCTAAGTTTTCTAATAAACCTACTGGATGATCGAGCGTTCCATCTCAAATAAACACAACACAGTAAGTCTAGTTAACATTTCACATTATCAAAAATATTGTAGAAAAAACATTAGTCTATGCACAAGTTAGGGCGGGGAAGAATATAATCTTAAAACACGTCTATGACCTGAGAAACATGCATACAATTCAACAATTTAATTAAAACTATGAGAGAGTAGAGGTGACAGTGACAAATAGATTCTACATTACAATAATGTCCGCATATTTAAAAAGTACTTGTTGCCCCCTAACTCGTTAACAAAAAAGTTAGTAAACATTAACTTGAATAATAATTGAGTATTGAATTTTAAAACCAACCGCAAATCGTAACAGTCTTAAAACACATCAAACCAAAACACAATGATAATAATATACGAACCAAACGACGAACAAACCACTACGCTACGAACTCGCCAACTGTGGATAACATATCAATTGATAGTTTTCAATTGCACTGAAAACTACATTGACTATAAATACAAAACTATCCGATATCCATCAATTCTCACTACTGGTCTATTACTAAATATTTTCGTTACATTAAAAATTGTATATTGATTATTGTGTTGACTATAAAGACACGGGTATATTTTTAACTTTCGGCACACATAGCGTAAGATCATACGAGAATTCTCAATATACAAGATAATTTACATGTCAGAAATCAGAACAAAATAATAAACAAAGGTGCAATTAAATTATAAAAGAATGTAGTTGTAAACTAAAATAAACTAAGTCAGTTACTTTTTACCTCCATAATAGGCATAATTAATTAAATAATTATATATAGTCGCATAACTTCAAAGTACGTCAATACCTACAAGAGCATTGTATACTATGCAATGATTTTTAAATGATGGGGCAGGTTCGCTTAATTTAGATAGTTTACACAACAGGTTTTACAAATGTGCCACTAGTGCATACTATAGTGGAATTCTATAAAGTACCCAATACAATATGTAACGGAAACACCGTCCGATCCATTAAGGTGTTAATAGGTATCGAGTTAAGATTCCATTTGTGTAATAATTTTCATAAAATATTATAAAAAAAATACCCCATGAAAAATAAATACAAAATTTACAAAAATAAAATAGCTTACATGGCAATCCGAACGGCAGTGTAGAGGGTACGCGGGAGGGGTAGAGATGCGCCGGCACGCGTAGCGACGTCATAAGGTCATGACCTCCAGCGTATAAAAAAAAGCCGCGCGGCGACAGAGTGTTAACGCTTTTTGAAAATTTCCCCGTTGTAGGGTAAATCATTGCTAAACTTATCGACTTTAAAAATCGATAAAAAAAATGTTTTTATTAATTATGTAATTTTGATACTTGTTTTGGTAATGTTGTTAAAGCTACTTTATGACCCTTTCGGATCGGACGGTGTTTTTGTTACATATTGTATAATATACCAAACATTTGCCCAAACATCTTTAATATTGAATAGATTGACATTTATTTAATTAATGTTTTAATATTTGTATGCCTGAAGAGACAAAGTATATTTCAAAACATAATGTAATGTATTTATCTATTCAATATAAAGAAAGTTAGGGTCTTAGTTTCTTTGAAGTAGGAATAAAATCTACAATAGATTGGGATTTTCTCATGTTCGTACAATTTTCAAGTACATTACGATACCGTAGTGATTCCGATATCGGACTATAATGTTTATTTATGAACAATATCGACATCCAACAAACGGCAAACAAACACCACACAGTTGCATTACATTATACTTTTATGTTCACACAGACAACTATCATATTTTCACAACAATTTCGGAACACAGTGAATCGAGATCGCAACTCGTTAACATACCGACGATTAATCGTGCAATTAGTTGATGGATTATTTCGTATAATTTAGTGAATTGAATTGTTAATGAGATATTAGACTAATATCTTTCCTAAATACAATTTCTCGGTATTCAAGAACGATCTCACGATTCACCAATTCGTCTAATGCCCCCCTACCAAGGTTGAAGATCAATTTATTTTTCAAGCATTTTACCCTGTTTTTGGCGGTATTGTTCTGCCATATTGTCAAGTTTCCGACTCGGCAGAGGGCACAATAACAATATTGGACGTAGTTAAGACACACACATAGGCCATTAAAGTAAATACTATTAAGATTTTAAAATACTTGTCAAGGCTTGATGATCCATGTGAGATTTATAAATGAGAAAATGGATTCAGACACTAAACATGTTTAGGATTTATTTTTTTGTATTTTTAAAGCTATTTTCTTCAAAGCTGTAACTTGAGTTCTTATATAACTTATACGTAAAGCGCCAACACAAATTTTTTATTGAAGTTCGAGAAATAAATATAACTTGTCAAGTTTCTCATGAATGTCATTCTTAACGCATGGCAGAAAGGTGTTAAATCGCTTATCATCATCTCGGAGGCAAGTGTGATGTCAAACGTGTGAGTGAGAGAGAGCTACAATTCCGGGGTGCGTGCGAGTGAGGCAGTCTTATCTCTTAGAGGAGCTTTTGATTTGTTGTAACTTGAGGCGGAGAGCGTCGACTGCTGCCTCGTTCTTCTGCGACATCGGCTGCGTGGTGTGTAACTAGAAGACAAATATTCATAAATACCAGTAATCCTGGATACTTACACATGTATAAATACTGCATAGATAGCGCGTATCGCCTAGATAAGCACTCTAGGGTTTTACCGCAATCTTGCTTTTTTTGCTAGATTATTAAGTCCGTAGGTAACTTATGTTATACTATTGAAACTGTCACCCAAAAAAAGTTGATGAAGTTGAAGAAAAGTTGTTGAAAGAGTTGATTGACTTTAGACTAAAATTACAAAAATTGTGCCTTTGTGGCTCTCCTAGGCCCTCAGTTCAGCAGTGGACTACTCTAAACCAGAAGTCACACGAGGGAACGGTTGCCCCCCATTGGCGTCCGAAGACGGCGCCTCTGCAGACCTGTGGCCTAATTCTCGTATTTTAAAACAGTCAAAATGTCGTTGACGTTTAGAAGTTTAATAAGAAGAAAAAGAAGAAGATTTGACGTTTAATAAGAATAAAAATAATAGGTGAATACCGCGGAGGCAACGATTGAATACGTAAACGAAATCGAAACAAAATCGGGCGATTAGCACGTGAATACGAAAAGTAGGTATAGTCCAGCGATCAAATCGCTTGTATGTCGTTGAAGTTTTGTTACGTGAATTACGCCCGTATTCACAAACAATGCTTCCTAAGTGAAGCAGAAAATCGAACGCACAGCGTTAAATAGAGCTCTGATTGGTTCGTGTGTCACCCTGTGCGTCCGCGCGCGCACTGAGAGACCTCATAGTAACGTTTGTGAATACGGGCGTTAGGCTACTGCTGTGCTGACTGCTGAGTGTTACCTCGAGCTGCGGGTCGATGCTGTGCGCGCGCGGCAGCGAGTTGTCGTTGATGGAGTCGGCGAGGGAGCGGTTGTCGCCCATTGGCGTCCGCGGCTGTGACGACGGCGACTCGGTTTTCAGACCTGCTTTGGCCTGCAAATCGGTAACTTTTTTATTGGCGACCAAGCTGTAGAAACTGGCCACACAGGAGTTGTGTGGGAATAGTTCCATAAGGGTGATAAACAGTTCAAATTAATTAAAAATATTTTGTAAATTAAACCAAATCTAATGGAAATAAAACCAAAAATCCTAAATATGTTGCTAAGCTAAATGCTTCCAATACAGTTGGGCAAATTAAGTTTTACAAACACCTAATCTTAAGTCGCTAAAACACCATTTTTCCCTTCTCACTGTTTGATAAAACAACATCTATTGGCCCGAAAGTGCGTCATAAATGGTTTCTCTAACAAATTTTAAATTCCCAGTAGCAATATTTGAATACTTTTACTAGCCCCAATACCGATGTTTCTTAAAATACCTCATGCACGTTTCATTCTCATACTTTCACATAAAGAGCAAGTTTTTTGTCCTATTTATGGTCATAAATACTCATCGTTTAAGCATTTCAATAACAGTACAGTCGACAGCACGTCAACGTATACATTGTGGTATCTTACGTCGTTGCGATAGGGGCGACTTTGCAACGAAAATATAGTCTGATGTGCTGTCGACTGTACATTCATAATTTTTTCATACATAATCCTTTTATCTACTGCAGACATAGATGCTAGAATTACCTGTCGGCACATTTCAACACAAGCCTATTATGTTTTATTACCACTGACTACCTGCCAATAATGAGAGTAGATTGTACACACAATAAAACACTGATTACGCCTATTGTTAGCCATTTAACCTGAAAAATAGAGACAAGGACACTTACTTGTAGGGCTCTGAGTCGTTCTAAGAATATCACGTGCGATTTTTCGTCGTTTTCATTACTGATATCTGAAATAAAAAAACAATGATATAAGCTTGGGAATGAGTCATTCAAAGGGTTTTGAGGTTATCTTAAATATTCTTTTATGAGTAAAACAACATGAGATCGTAATGAATTGTGTGTCATACTTGGTCTAAATTCTACGAAGACAATGTAAACAAAATTAACAGTCAACCACATTGAACAAACATGTTTAGATACAAAAATGAGAAGCGTAAATAAAAATTATGCGGGGATTCCCCTGACATAATTTCATTTTTCAATACCTTAGTCATCGTGATACGATTAAATAAAATCGAATTTTTGTATGTAATTAATTACCACTGAAAATCAGTGTCTTGGCAGACCGATAATAATATAGTTCTTGCAACTCACGAAGGCGAGTGAGCTTTACTTGTGTGTGTACGGTACATGCACAAAAATAGTGTAATGTTTAACAAAACTTTTGAAATACGAACAGTAGCGAGCCACCACACATGTAAAGCTCACTCGCCATCGTGGATTGCAACAACTACATTTAAAATTAGGAATTTGGTCCAATATTTTGCCTGTCCGATAGGCAAATTAATCTATACTAATATTATAAATGCGAAAGTAACTCTGTCTGTCTTCCTTTCACGCCTAAACCACTGAACCGATTTTGATGAAAGGCATAGAGATAGTTCGGTTCCCGGGAAAGGACATAGGATAGTTTTTATCCCAGTTTTTGACACAGGGACGCGCGTGATAAAGTTTTTGTCACAGACAATATTCCACGCGGGCGAAGCCGCGGGCCGAAAGCTGATCTATACTAATATTATAAATGCGAAAATAACTCTGTGTCCGTCTGTCACTCTTTCACGCCTAAACCACTGAAGCGATTTTGATGAAATTTGGCATAGAGATAGTTTAAGTCCCGGGAAAGGATATAGGATAGTTTCTATCCCAGTTTTTGATACAGGCGCGTGATAAAGTTTTTGTCACAGAATTGTCTGTGTTCCATTGATTCCACGCGGGCAAAGCCGCGGGCCGAAAGCTAGTTTATCATAAACCCCTCACCGATACTGTCAGACTTGTAGTCGTGCTTGTAGATGGGCATGGAAGCGAGCTTGCGCTGCTCGGCCACCTCGCGCAGGCCGCGCTCCACGTAGTTGCGGAAGTAGAACGACGAGCCCTGCATGAACGTCCAGATGTCCACTTCGGGGTGACGCTCCTGTGGGACAAGTTTCATGTACATTTTTGTAGCAAAGATGCCGTAGTGAATAATTTAATACCCAATTCTGTTCAAAATGATCCCATTATCACTCCCCAATAATTCTAAAGCACTACTTTTTTTAAAAGGCTCTTTATTCTGGTCATATGAATATAATTAATTTTAAATTAGCTGTAAATTAAGATTGTTGGTTGCATTTAATTGAAAATTGAGTTGAAAAAATATTGTAGTCACTGGCTAGTAATGCCATACAGAATCTACGGGTCTCGTTTTGACATTTTTGAAAAGTACGTCAATTGATTGGTGGTGGCAAATACCCTATTGCAGATATCATGAAGGCGCTGGATGCCGGCCGCTACCAACCGGGCGATGTGGAAATAATTGGGGGAGACTTATATTTAGCTGTTGACGTCTGTTTGTGGCTGAAATGATCATGAATTGCAGATGGTTGAATCAAACACTTTATTTTACTTGCGACACCTATCTTTGTTTAATACTTTTTGAGTCATCTGTAAAGCGTGGACTTTAAGCGGAGCGACGCGGTTGATACTCCTCCAAAATTCTTGGTGAAACTCGTTGCGTGTAATCCCGACAGAGTAAAATAAGACCACCAGATGTCTCAACTGACTAAGGGAGAAACACACGAACAATATGCCTCCTCAACTCGTTTGGGCATGGCGGGGAGTGTAGACCAAATCCTCTGCCTCTGGTAAATTAGGCCACGTTCAGATTGTGAGCGCTCAACGCGCGTTTCTACATGTGTTGTTGTAAACGCGCGCTATCAAAATGCGCGTTGTGCGCTCGTCATCTGAAGGTGACCTTAGAGGGTCGCGCCCCTGCAGTGGATACTAAATGATCTGATGTTGATCAACAGTGGCTATTGACCACCTACCCGCAAATCATAGAGCTGCGCCAGCGCGTGTTTGTTATGCTCCTTGCTGCCGATCTTTTTCAAGATCAGCGCCAGCTCGTCGTGCACCACCACCACCATTGGCGTACCTAGGGTCATTTTTAAAGGAGAGCCTGGCCCGTGACACAATTTTTCTTACCTTCACCTTTTTTTTTATAGTAGTGTTTTTTTTTATTTGTTTTTTTTTATTGTGTCAATAAACCATTTCTATCTATCTATCTATCTACCTACCCTCAGGTCGTAGAGCTGCGCCAGCGCGTGTTTGTTATGCTCCTTGCTGCCGATCCTCTTCAGGATCAGCGCCAGCTCGTCGTGGACCCCGCGCGGCAGGCGGGGAGCGGGGTCGCGGAGCAAGCGACCACTATTGGCGTATCTAGGGTCATTTTAAGGGGGAGCCTGGCCCGTGACTGGCTCCTCACTATACGCGCTTGACCACCCACCACCTACCATAAATGCTGATGATAAATGCTGAGCGGTGGCTATTGGCACAGTTTTCCTTACCTTTTTTGTTATAGTGCTTTTTGTTGTTTTTTTTCTGTTTTGTGTTTTTTTTATTGTGTCAATAAACCATTTCCCACCCACAAGGTGGACCGACGACATCATAGAGGTGGCGGGAAGGCGCTGGACGCAAGCCGCTACCAACCGGGTAACATGGAATGCATTGGGGGAGGCCTATGTTCAGCAGTGGACGTCCTATGGCTGAGATGATGATGATGAAACCATTTCTATCTATCTATCTACCTACCCGCAAATCATAGAGCTGCGCCAGCGCGTGTTTGTTGTGCTCCTTGCTGCCGATCATCTTCAGGATCAGCGCCAGCTCGTCATGGACCCCGCGCGGCAGGCGGGGAGCGGCGTCAGACCGCGGGCAGCGAGCGACCACCACCAGCCAGGCGTATCTAGGGTCATTTTTAAGGAGGAGCCTGGCCCGTGACAGGCTCCTCACTATATACGCGCTTGACCACCCACCCACCAACTACCATAAATGCTGAGCGGTGCCTATTGGCACAATTTTTCTTACCTTTACCTTTTTTGTTATAGTACCTACTTATATGTGTTTTTTTTTATGTGACAGGAGGCAAACGAGCAGACGGATCACCTGATGGTAAGTGATTACCGTCGCCCATAGACACCCGCAGACCCAGGGGCGTTACAGGTGCGGTGCCGGCCTTTAAGGTGAAGATACGCTCTCTTCTTGAAAGCTTGCTTCTTTTCTGTTTTTTTTATTGTGTCAATAAACCATTTCTATCTATCTATCTACCTACCCTCAGGTCGTAGAGCTGTGCCAGCGCGTGTTTGTTATGCTCCTTGCTGCCGATCCTTTTCAGAATCAGTGCCAGCTCGTCGTGGACCCCGCGCGGCAGGCGGCCAGCCGTGAGCGAGCGACCACCACGATTGGCGTATGTAGCGTCATTTTAAGGGAGCCTGGCCCGTGACAAGGACTACCTAAGGAATGACCACCTACCCTCAGGTCGTAGAGCTGCGCCAGCGCGTGTTTGTTATGCTCCTTGCTGCCGATCCTCTTCAGAATCAGCGCCAGCTCGTCGTGGACTCCGCGCGGCAGGCGGGAAGCGGCGTCGCGGAGCAAGCGACCACTATTGGCGTATCTAGGGTCATTTTAAGGGGAAGCCTGGCCCGTGACAAGGACTACCTAAGGAATGACCACCTACCCGCAAATCATAGAGCTGCGCCAGCGCGTGTTTGTTATGCTCCTTGCTGCCGATCCTCTTCAGGATCAGCGCCAGCTGGTCGTGGACCCCGCGCGGCAGGCGGGGAGCGGGGTCGCGGAGCAAGCGACCACTATTGGCGTATCTAGGGTCATTTTAAGGGGGAGCCTGGCCCGTGACCATAAGGCACCCCGCCTACCATAAATACTGATGATAAATTCTGAGCGGTGCCTTTACCTTTTTTGTTTTATTAGTGTTTTTTTTTGTTCTTTTTTTTTGTTTTGTGTTTTTTTTATTGTGTCAATAAACCATTTCTATCTATCTATATATCTATCTATCTACCTACCCTCAGGTCGTAGAGCTGCGCCAGCGCGTGTTTGTTATGCTCCTTGCTGCCGATCCTCTTCAAGATCAGCGCCAGCTCGTCGTGGACCCCGCGCGGCAGGCGGCCAGCCGTGAGAGCGGCGTTGGGCGTCACCGTCGCCAGAACCGAGCCGCCGTTCAGAGCGTCCGATGTGTTCTCTTTCTTCTCGTCTAGCTTCAGTTGCTGGGGGCAAAGGGCTGTGATAACTACTGAAAGGCTGTGGGAACTAGCATCGTAAGCCGTATAACCAGAGTAAATACAAATGAGTAGGTCATCTCACCGCTAAATCCACGTTATTTTTTGTCAGTGTGTGCTTGCGCGATGCATACGTATTGGCGCGCTCACATACAAACCGCGCTCGGTGCGTTTCTATGAAGATGACCTACTCATTTGTATTTACTCTGGTATAACTTTTGAGAGAAATATCAAGCGAGGTTTAAGCCCGTTTTCCATCAACCCATAATTTCTAAGTGACCCCTATGACAACAAAATTCCTGTTATTTGTTACCATAGAGGTCACTTAAAAATTAGGGATTGATGGTGAAAACGGGCATTAAACTAGCAATAAAACTTGCAGAGCTATGGCAAGCCATCTGGTAGATTTACACAGTGGTGACAGCTTGCGAAAGTCAACTTCTGCTAGTTTTATTGCTAGTCTAAACCTCGCTTAAGAGTACAGGAATCAGACTGATCTAAATCTGATGCCCAGATACAGAACTTTTTGTCATACAAAACACAAACTAACATTAAAATTTGAACAAATTCATTCTGTTTTAAATAAATGGTTGAGGATTCCGGATGAAGCTCGCTTTCGCCTTCAGCCTAATCTTTACTTACCATCAGATGAGATACAGGCCAAGAGCTTCCTCATTGTGGATAAAAAAAAACAGTATAGTGACTTAAGGAAAACGCGTCTAGCAGTAGCTGGACTACCATTTGCAGATATGCTGTGAAAAGACATTAACAAAATTATTCTGTAAACCGCAAAACTGCTAAATATAGGAGAATAAAGTCTCACCTTCAGAACTTTGAGAAGGTACGGATACAGATCGGACTCGTTGACGTCGGGTATCTGCGTGAGGTGGTTCGTTATTGAAGCGCCCTTCATCTTGACTAGAGTGTGCACTAGTGTCTTCACCGTTCTGCAACAAAACACGTCAATCAATCAAGTTGTCTTATGGTATGGGGATTTTATTTAGTAGCGACCTCCCGCGACTTCGTACGTATGGACCCCGTTTTACCCTCTTTGGGGTTGAATTTTGCTCGGATATTATTCGAATTTTTCTCGCCGTAAAACCATCCTTGGACTTCAACGAACATTAAAAAAAGAATCGGTAAAATTGGTCCAAGCGTTGTTGAGTTATGCGCTTACTAACACATGCCAACACTACCTATGACATGAACGTCACTTCAGAAGCTCATTCTATCACTCTTAGCTACCTGCCAATAATTACATATTTTATACGTCAAGACTTGTCAAATATAAGGTTTTGCTACAAATTCCAGTCAACTTAGGACGCGCGCCACGATATAATCTTGTCGACTATTTCAGACGACAAATGTATGGGTTTATCGTTTAATTATTATATCGTGGCGTGAAATCTATGTTAGACAAGTTTCTGATGCATTACGTACCTGTACGGGGTGTCACTAATGTCAGGGTTCTTCTTCCAATAACTGTTGGGATATGCGCGGTAGAACAGATGTATCTTGTGCAACACAGCGTCGTAATCCACCGAATTGGCGTCCCAGGTGGAGATCATCTTCAGGGTCTTCCAGAAGCACTTGAGGAGTAGGTCCTGGTAGCGAGGGTAGGCAGGTTCGGACACGCCGATGGAATCGTGGAGGAGGGAGACGATTGCACTGGAAGAGAAAAGAAGAGTTATTTTCGCCATTTTACTGACATTAATCCTTCAAGGCCCGCGAATCTAGACACAATAGATAATCAATTGTTATGACATTAATTAATGCCGTCTGGGACTCAAGCGGTTAAAAGGAGATATTTGGTAGTTTCTGTTCCTAAAAACAGGCTTTGCACATATGCGCCTGTTGTTATAATGCAGTCACATATTATGCTATGGGATATAGCGTATAGGCTTTCTCTAGATTTTGCCCGTAGCTTCGTAATATTAGTAGGATCAACAAACTTCGTCATCATGAGCCTATAGCGGTCCAGAGTCCACTATTAGACATGTCGGCCATTTTACTTTCTTGGGCTTGTCGCATCCAGTTTCTGTCAGCGACTTTTCACTAGTCGTAAAACCTAGATCTGATGCCCTTGGCTTGATTCCCTGGGCCTGATAATCTAGGCCTGATGTCTTGTTCCTGATGATCTGAGCTTAATATCCCGAGCCTGATGCCCTGCGTATGATTCCCTGGGCTGATCTATACGAAACTATTCCCACCTCTCGGTCCCACCATTGCACCTCTTGTGTAGCCAGGATCTACAGCTTGACTGCCAATAAAAACCCAACCAGTGAAGGTCATGTTTGTCCCGAGGGAAAGTCTGATGACCTATAGTTCTTGATGACCTAAGCCTGATGCACTGAACCTAATGACCTAGGTATGATGTCCTGTTCCTGGTGACTTGAGCCTGATTCCCTAAGCCTGACGTCCTGTTCCTTATGCCCTAGGCCTGATGTCCTGTTCCTGATATCCTAAGCCCGGCACTCACCACAGCAGGTGCGTGCGCGGCGAGTGCTCGAGCACGCGCACGCACACGTTGTTGAGGATGCGCACGAGCCGCTCAGCGTCGGGCCCGCCGCCGCCGGCTCCCAGCACGCGGAGTAACTCGCCGAGCAGCGAGCAGAGCGCCTGCTCGCCGACCTGCGACCCGCAGCCCGCTGTCTCGTAGAACTGTGAGAAGACAAACAATACATTTCTTCAGCATTCAACATTCTTGCCAGTTAATAGCAAGAAAACTGGAACACGATGTGTTGCCCACACGCTTTGAGACACCTAGTAAACACACACGTTCGTGTAAGAGTCCTGTCACACGTTGCTCAAGAGAGGCTGCGTAATTGCTTAGACATCACAACTTGGGCTACTTGAACGCACTCAGTGTACGCAACGAGACGATGAGGAAAATAGTGTATGTGATTGTGGTGCTGTGTATACTTACAAGCACTATGCATCACGGAGGCGTAGCAATTTTAATACTATGACGGCACGCATATAATTTACGATAGAAAAATATTTAATAATGCGAGCCATTGTGGTAATCCAACTATTTTCACATTAACTAACTAATCCAAGTATTTTTTAAATAACTTGAAAAATCAAACTGCCTAAAGTGGAAATCAAACCCACGACCTTTCGCTTGGCTAATGTGATATTTAGTCGATTCTTGTGTTCTATTAAATTAACCAGGACTTACGGTGGTAAGAGCTCCGGCAAGATACTTGTAGGCGGGTAGCGCGTCAGCCGGCGGGCCGCAGCGCAGCCGCCGCACTTGCGCCGCTATAGCACTGACTAGACGCTGCTCGTGCGAAGCCAGCGCTGCGCCGCGACCAGAGACTAAAGCTCCAGAAATTAGCGACAGGGCTCGGATTGCGGCCTGAGGGAAAGAAAAAAATATGAGAACCTGACGTCTAGAAGAATGAGGGCTTTCGCGATTGAAAAATCCGCCAGATGGCAATACGTAGACGCCAAAAGCTGCATGATTGGTTATTTTCGACATGACATTGACAGATATGTACAAATCCACCAATCACGCAGCATTTGGACCTCGCGTCTACGTATTGCCATCTGGCGGATTTTTCAACCGTGAAAACCCTCATTCATTCGGAATAAATGAATGAGTACACAATCAGAGAAAACCCATTATCATCAGCCTCATCATCATCATCATTTTAGCCATAGGACGTCCACTGCTGAACATAGGCCTCCCTCAATGCTTTCCATGTTGATCGATTGGTAGCGGCCTGCGTCCAGCGCTTCCCTGCTACCTTTATGATGTCGTCGGTCATGACATCATCAGCCTACATCATCAGCACTGTTGGAAATGTCACATAAGCAGCACACAAAATAACCATGGCATATGAAATCGTGGTGCACCTAAGAATAAAGCTTGCATTCGTTTACTTTCAGTTTTCAAAATGCAATTGTGCTATCAACAAAAGGGTTGCTATTTGTGTTAAGATGTAAATTTTATAATACTTAATATCTTTGCGTGGTATTCTTAAAAAGGTAAATAGTTCGTTTGAATACCGCCAGGGGTTTGTTTTTGGTTCGTTGTTCGGTTGTTCTCGCCATGACTGTTTGATTTGTAATACGTTTTATTTTACTTGAAATATACGTGAGAAATCTTACTTAAGAGTTTATTTTAACCACACCTTAACAGNAACATATTGATTAGAAGATTTGTAAATGGCAAGTGGGAGAAAAGCATAATAAAAGATGTGCTTTATGTGCCAGAACTAGAAAAGAATCTGTTCTCAGAAGGTATGGCAGCTAGAAAAGGCTATGTTATTGTAAAGAAGAACAGAGAGGCCCTAATATTAAAAGACAATATTGTTGTAATGACTGCAACATTGAAACAGAACAATCTTTATGGACTGAACATTAAAACCTTATTGAATTTGACATTGAGTAAGAATGGTGCAATTCCAGTAACATTGACAGACGTTGACAACTTCATTTGTAAAGGATGTCAATTTTATAAATCTGGTAGAGGAAAATGTGAACCTGATGAAAGTGGGAAAATAAGTAGGAATGTATACTTCAATAAGAACAATTTACCGGTCCAGAAGAAAAATATTACTACAATTTCTATTACTGAAGAAAAAGATCGAAATGAAGAAAGTCCAGAAATATCAGGAGACAACCAAGATATTACTGAATCAAGTTTTGAAAGTGTAGAGACACACGAAGATCCCAATGATAGAACATACGAGCCTTCGCAGATAATATCTGAAGATGATACAAGAAATATTACACTGCGACCTAGAAGGCACAGAAATGAAGAAGCGAATTTCGTTGAATTTGATATACCTACTACATATGAAGAAGCTATGAATTGCAGAGATGGCAGTAAATGGAAAGAAGCTATAGAGGCAGAAATACAGTCGCTAGAAGAAAATAAAACATGGAAGTTAGTAGATAAGAAACATGAGAGAAGAGTGTCCTCAAAGAGGGTATTTTGTATAAAAAGAGATACAGAGGGCAATATAGTAAGATACAAAACACGTCTTAAAACGTAAACGTATGTATTGTGTTAAATAATGTAGAAAGCTCAAACCAGCTCGCACATTTTTTTAACAGAAGCTGTGTCTTTCATAGTTATTTATTTATGTTGAATGGAAAGTGAGTTGTTTTGAAGCTTTTATAGTTAAGTAGGTTATTATTCTAAAATTTAAGTGGGAGTGTTAAGATGTAAATTTTATAATACTTAATATCTTTGCGTGGTATTCTTAAAAAGGTAAATAGTTCGTTTGAATACCGCCAGGGGTTTGTTTTTGGTTCGTTGTTCGGTTGTTCTCGCCATGACTGTTTGATTTGTAATACGTTTTATTTTACTTGAAATATACGTGAGAAATCTTACTCAAGAGTTTATTTTAACCACACCTTAACAATTTGCAAATGATAGGAGTACTAAGACAACAAATCATATAATAAACATCCAATACAACGAATTACGAAAATAAAGTTCTGAAATGGGGGTCATTTCACGAGGTAGACAGATAATAAAATATTACAGTTTTCAGTATTCATATCAGAAAAGGTGTTTCAAAAGCTTATCATACTTCCATTCATCTAAAAATAAGTACTGGCCGATGTAGCTGAAATGATAATGATGATGATGCAACAACTTACATTGAGATCAGGACTAGCGATGGAGTGGATGGTGTCAGCCAGTTGTGAGTCGTCGATGGAGGACTGCGAGTGCTGAGCCGACGACACCAGCGGGTGCGGCGCCATGTGGCGAGGAGGCGACATCGGGACCATGCTGTTGACAATATGACTTGTTATTAATAATAGGAATCTATCAATCTACCACTTCAGTCAAACGAGATTTGTAAATAGGAAGGAATGTACATCTATCTACCACGTTTACATTCTTGTAGTCAAACAATAAAATCTACCATTCTTACCTATGCCTATCCGTAGGCTGCGACTGCTGCGTTATAGTCCTCACCCCGCTAACAAGGATGGGTCATATTTGTCTCTTAGACGCTTCTTACATCAGTCCTATTCTTCTCAGCCGGAGCCACATGGCTACTTTTACAAATGCTAAAGTCTACCTTCCATCTCACCTTACTTCAACGACGGATTAGCAAGCTGAAGTGGCAATGGGCATGGCACATAGCACGCTTAGCTGACGGCCGATGGGTTCTGGAAACTTCTGGAAAGGCAGGCTACGTACCAGTAAGGGCAGCGTAGGGCGATGGACAAATTACCTTGTAAAGATTACTTTTTAAGTTGGATGCAGGCCGCTGTTAACCGGGCAATCTGAAAAGCACTGGGGGAGGCCTATGTTCAATAGTGGAAGTCCTGTGGCTGAAAAGAAGATGATTTCACCTCTAGCAGGCTGCGTGCTAACAGGAATAGGGTTTTCGAAAAACTTCAGATCAAGCTGTGATTTGTTTCGTTGGAGTTCTCTGGTGGCACTATGCTGTATAGTAGGAAGTCTACCATGGTAGACGTACCAGGTCGAGCTCGGGCAGGTGGGGCCGGCGCTGTGCGTTAGTCTAGCTCGCCTCACCTGTGCCTGCCAGCGGGCTGCGAGTGCTGCGTCACGGTCCGCACGCCGCTCACGGGGATGGGGTCGTCGAGGAACTTGAGGTCGAGCTCGGGCAGGTGGGGCCGGCGCTGTGCGTTAGTCTAGCTCGCCTCACCTGTGCCTGCCAGCGGGCTGCGAGTGCTGCGTCACGGTCCGCACGCCGCTCACGGGGATGGGGTCGTCGAGGAACTTGAGGTCGAGCTCGGGCAGGTCGGGCCGGCGTAGTACGGGCACGGCGGCGTCCAGTTGCGCGATCAGTTCTGGGTCTAGCCCGAACGGGCCGCTGATTAGTTTCGGCTCTGGTGGCGCCGGCCTGGGTGAAATCGAACGTGTTTATTTAGGAATACTGTAGGGCGTTACTAAAACATAAAGAATTCTATGTTATGAGGATGAGACGTTGATTTAGGTCAAATATTATATTTCATTTAAGTTAGTATACCAATAATTGCACAAACCACAATATGAAAACAACAACGTTCCAAAAACGTATAACTTCGTTGACATTTATGCGAGAAGTGTCAAGTGACCGCCACCTCGATTTTCATAAAAGGTGTCGTATTTCCTGGCACGCTACACCACGTAGCGATAAAGATTTACTTTGTATTTCTAAAATTATACATTATTTTTACAATTAACAATCTATCTTCTCTCTCTCTCTCCCACTAAATCTAATAAAGTTTAATACTAACACATGAACTGGTGGCGGCGGCTGCTCCTCTTCCTCCTCCTCGATATACTCCGTCGGTGCTGTGTCCACTGAGATCACTCGTCTCGGCGGCTCGTCCTGTTCACACACACAAAGCTTAAAAATATGGCGAACATCTACATTATGACATGTCATGGTCTAGTGCAGCGGTCCCCAAACTTATTTTGTCTACTGCCCACTTTGAGAATAAATTCTTTTTAGCGCCCCCATTTGTAGTCGAGTCACAGAATAATAATAAGTACTACGTACAGAAGTTTTACTTCGCGAAGGTATTTAAAAAAATGTATGCTCAATGTCATTAACAATATGGTGTAATTTAGCCTGTCTCAAGAGTCAAGCACCATTTTGTTGACAAACGTCAGTGATCGGCACTGCGCCGAAGCTATAGGGCTGACTTCGGTAAAATGATGTGACGTGAGGTGCCAAACTGCGGAAATGGCAATACATGATTTAGCTTGAATTATCATGAATAATATTAACTACTTATTTACCTCTCAGTGTCTTGAGGCAACTTAAAAAAGGACATTCTGTGTTTTTATTATTATTTAGGCAGTTAAATACTGCACAGTATTTAGTACACCATTTTCTTTATTTTCTTCCATCAGACACAAGAATACGCGTGCGTGAGTCAATGTTCGCTCGTATGTGAGGCCTTGTCGAATAGTATCCTGTAGGTGGGCCATCGTGCGTGTTTTGTTTTCGATGTAAACTCGCGGAGATGAACAGGCCTGGTCGAGTGTCGAGTGCTCAGTCGGTGTCTAAGAGTCCTCCTAGTAAATGACGTCTCCCAAGCCTCTACACAACGTCCCGATTTTTTTTCTGGGTCTCTTACCGCCCCCCTTTAATCCTGCAGCGCCCACAAGGGGGCGTTATCGCCCACTTTGGGAAAGACTGGTCTAGTGGTAAGAATACTTGTCTCAGACTCAAGAGTAATTTGCTAGCCCTATAGTCTTTTTCACCTAAGATGATCCGTATGACGTTTCGAGTTTGAAAGATTTAGAGATGTCACATAACTAAACCATAGCGATTTATCTATCGATTTTTTTCCAAGAGGTAGTGAAACCTACTTTTAGAGAAATATTTTGTATAGGTGTTATTTAACAAAAAACATGTTTTTTTTAATTACAAATATTATTGTAACAATTTTTTATTGATAATATTCAAATTCCATAGTTCGTGTTCAAAAAAACGATTCCTAAAAAGTACTGGTTCTGTTTCTTTAAATTAAAAACTATTAATTTATTTTCAATGCGTTTATTAAAGTCAAGAATCGAAAAATATAGTTGATTTTTGTGATGTTTTTAATAACTAAGTATTCACTGCAATCGATTAATGAACCGCGGAAATAATCGATTTTATTTAACAAGAAATACCCCAGCACTAAATCTATTCCGTTTCACACATTGCGTACATTAAATAAAAAATATTTTTACATCGTATTTAATTTAAATATAATCAATAGACTCAGATTTTACTATATATTTCAAGACAAGTAGTTAATTTTTTTTTTATTATATTCCTAATAAAATACATTTTTTTTTTTCAAAAATATGCTGCATAAATGTAGTATGCGTAATATGGATAACCTTGAAGTGTCATACGGATCATCTTACGTGAAAAAGACTATAGCTAGTTGTAAGTCCGCCTGGCTAGCTGTCACTATCTTACTTTAGTTTGTCGCCATAAAAACAATGCTAACAGTTTGGTAGTGATTTAACACTTGGAGCTAAGATAGCCAGTTCCTCCGTTATTCAGAATTCTGTGAAGCTTGCTTCCGCCTTCGTCCTAATCATTACTTTCCAAAATAAAATGTAGGCTAAGAGCTTACACGTTGTAGCTGTTAAAAAAACTCATAATCTACTATATAAAAATAAGTCGGGTTTTCCTCCCTGACGGTATAACTCCAGAACGCACGAACCGATTTCCACGGTTTTGCATTCGTTGGAAAGGTCTCGGGCTCCGTGAGGTTTATAGCAAAGAAAATTCGGGAAAAGGGGGTAAAACGGGATCCACGCGTACGAAGTCGCGGGCGGCCGCTAGTAACTCATAAAACTCATTTATTTTTGCAAATCGGCTTTTAAAAAGCACTTTTACACGTCCCAGTATTAACCCTACCACTGAAAATTTACAGCAATTAATATTAGTGGATGTATAAATGATAAATACCTCCATAACTTGCTGTATGGGCTTGCCGGAAGCAGAGAGCGGGACGACCATAGACCTCCGCACTTCTGCGCTGCGACTCTTGCCAGCGCGCTTGATGCGCTCTTCCAGCAGCGATAGATCTTTGTCGGATATCTAGAAAGAAGACAAATTATGCTTTAAATAAACAGAATACTTCGTTACCTGAAGAGACGGCAGTGATGGATACATCATCATTAAGTTAAGTAATTTGTACTTTACTGGCTAACTTTCTTCAATGTTTGTGATTATATTATTAGGTATTTTGGGGGTACACTGGTGTTATATTCGATACAAATATGCGAACATCAAACTTCCCCAACACCTGACGACCTGATAAAGGTAGCAGGAAGGGGCTAGATGCAGGCCGGTATACCAACCGTGCTATGTGAAAGTCATTGGGAGGAGGCTTATGTTCAGCATTGGGACGTCTTATGGCTGAAATGATGATGATGATGAAATCCATCCATTGCCTGTGGTAAATTAAAGAGGTTTGTCCTGCAGTGGAGACCTGTTGACAGTGACTCACCTGGCCAATCATCTTGTACACCTTCTCCCCCTCCAGGAAGTAAGCGCTGGCGACGCAATTGAGCGCGGCAGAGCGCACCGCGTTGTCTCTGTCCCCAATATGGCGGGCCAGCTCCTTCAGCGCCGCCCCGCCGGTTGGGGACATCACTGTCGAGCCGTATGTCTCTAGCAGGTGCCCGATGCACTCCAAACATTCTAGAAGGGAATAAGGTATATTTGATCACAATAGAACAAAGAAATAGGTTGTTTCGTTCATAAGATTGCAGTTGGAACCAAAATTGGGACCACTCAGTTGTGTCATGCTTAGTGTAAAACACAAACATAAGGCCCCACACTAGCAGCTTTAATACATTTTTACTTTTAAACGAGCAGTCGGATCACCTGATGGTAAGTGATTACCGTCGCCTATTAGACAACCGTAGTCCATTTCGTTGCCTTGTTTTTTAGCCAAAGAATAAATTTAGTCGTCTTGTCAGTGCAGAGTCGGCGCGGCAATGCAATTTGTTCTGGCTATGCTGGGTATAAATGGAGAGTGCTTCTTTTTGTCGCGTCTATAACAAACCTATACAGTGTCAACCCAAAACTCTGCACCAAGAGTGGCATTGTCAGTAGCATCACAGAATAATAATAAGTACTACGTACAGAAGTTTTACTTCGCGAAGGTATTTAAAAAAATGTATGCTCAATGTCATTAACAATATGGTGTAATTTAGCCTGTCTCAAGAGTCAAGCACCATTTTGTTGACAAACGTCAGTGATCGGCACTGCGCCGAAGCTATAGGGCTGACTTCGGTAAAATGATGTGACGTGAGGTGCCAAACTGCGGAAAATGGCGGAGGAAATACATGATTTAGCATGAATTATCATGAATAATATTAACTACTTATTTACCTCTCAGTGTCTTGAGGCAACTTAAAAAAGTACATTGTGTGTTTTTATTATTATTTAGGCAGTTAAATACTGCACAGTTTTTAGTACACCATTTTCTTTATTTTCTTCCATCATACACAAGAATACGCGTGCGTGAGTCAATGTTCGCTCGTATGTGAGGCCTTGTCGAATAGTATCCTGTAGGTGGGCCATCGTGCGTGTTTTGTTTTCGATATAAACTCGCGGAGATGAACAGGCCTGGTAGCATCATTAAATCTTCCTGCGTGCAGTTGTTACCAAAATCTAACTAAATTGTGTAACTAAACTAAACTAAAATTAATTAGTTTAAATATAACATTAATTTATCAACAACACATCCGTAAGTTCCTCACCAGCCCTCTGCCGTGCGTTCTTGGACTTGAGCCCCTCCATGAGGTATCCGAACAGCTTGGTGACGGAGTACACCACGCAGATCTGTTTGAACAGCGCCTTCACGCCGTTGCGGACCGTGTCTTTTGGGTCGCCCACCTGAAAGAAAGTTTATTTAAAAACAGCTACTTTTATACTGTTAAAATTGTTAACCAGTCTTTAGACATCACTGTCTTTAGCCTAGACGCAGACCACTTTTTAGTCGGCCGATAACTATCTAATTCGTATGAAGAATCAATGTTATGTGCGCACTTTCATACATCTCAATACTGATTAACAGCCCGACCCAACTATCGGTCAACTAAAAGTCGGTGGTTTGGCTTAGTCTTAGGTCACCTTGGTCACCTATTCATAAAAGCTTCTATTTATTGTATTAAGCCAACATAAACATTGTTATGACATCACATAAATAAGAGGAAGATTAAAATCTTAATTCCAATCGTCAGTTTATGCCAAGACTAGACAACGGAGGCACAGGGGACTATCTACGTTTTCTCCACGTTTACTTTATGACCTGATTCAGACACAAGGGTAATCGCGCGATTCTCGTATTTTTGCATCAAACCATAATCGCAGGGTTACCGCTTCAGTACCTCGCAATGAGAAACAGCCAGAAACCGCGAGTTTATCGTGTCTGAACCAGTAGGCCTAAGATGCGCGCCGCGATAAGCGGTTATCACGCCATTTTATCGATTTTCCCCATACATTTTGACGTCGATAAAAGTTATCACGGCGCGCATCTTAGGCCTACTGGCGTTAATAAAAATGATAAAAACAACTTCGTATCTTCTCCATCTCACCTTGAGCACCAGATACGGTATGAAGCAGTTAGCCTCATACTCCGCCATGGTGTAATCACTATCCATCAGATACTGGAAGACCAGCGAGAGATACTCCAGGCCCTTGAGGATGACGGACGGGTTGGTGTCGAAGAAGCGCAGCGTCAGCCACTTCAGCACCAGGTCGAGGTTGGCCATGAGCGCTGAACCGTTCTCGTTCAGGTCGTCGGAGAGAGCCTCGATGGCTTTTAGGTGGTATCTGGGGAAGAAGAAAGTAATAAATGTTTCATTTGTTTCTTTCTTAACTCCGCGTAAAGTCCGGCCGCCGAGCACATAAAATTTCGTCCAGTGACCCCAAGCTACCTCGGCTCGGCGACCGGACTTTAGTAAGATCATGGGATTGCAGATCAAAATGTATATTTTTATAAGCTTTTTTTGTAACAGTGATTACAATAGGCTACTTAATAGGAGCTTCTATCAAAATGCTCACGAAGATTATATGACCTAAGTTTTTAGAAGACCTTCGATCGATCTTGTTAGATTTATTGGCAAGTTGTAGATCTTTGCTACACACGAGTTGAAGTAATGAGAACGAGAGGCAAAATGATCCCATTGTTTAGAATCGCGAATAGTTCAGTCAGGGTCAAATGAAAAGAGTGGACTGTATGAAATTAGTTGTCTATCTATTCGGTATAAATTTACAATATTATCGAGACCGTTTAGTGCAAAGTCGTTGAAGAGAGTGCGTCAGGATCGTCTTCTTCGATGTTCGCTCGCGAACCGAACATTGATCGTTAGTTCGCCGAACGCTCGCCGCTCCCTCCGGTCACGCCGCCCGCGGGCAATGTCCGTGAGTAGACAGATGTCACGAACTATTTGACGATGACTGTACAGCGTCTATTAAAAATAACATTACTAACCTGAAGTCGTTGTGGAACATGTTAGCTATGAGCTGCTTGTTGAGTCCCGCCGTCGCCATCTGCTCCTTCAGCAGCTCGAAGAACTCCTCGCGGGGTGTTGTGAAGTTCCATTTCAGTACTGGAAAGAAAATCAGCTTTAACACAATAGTTTTAAAAACCATTATGGGATGGAAAGTCTATCTTATCCTATTGTGATTCAAAACGAGTGAAGTGTATTTAAAAACTAGTATTTTTTTAGGAATAAGGCTTCTCAATTGATCACTAACTGCAAGGAAAGATGGCAGGAGATCGCGCAGAGAGCTCTCTACCATCGACGGTACCACGACAGTCTATGCCCAGAGCGAAACGACAGAAAAGATTAAAATTGATCACACTTAGGCCCAGAACAGACGGTGAAACGCAACTGCTAGTTACTTTTGAGTTGCATCTAAGTTTCTGCCATAGCGTCCGTTGAGAGACCACACATGACGCGACCAGTTTGCAAGTTTGCAACTCAAAAGTAACTAGCAGTTGCAGTTTCGTTGCAGTTGCGTTTCACCGTCTGTTCTGGGCCTTAGCTACAATATAGTTTATGTTTTGACTAGGGTTGTGATATCATTAAAATTTGTGACAAATCAAAACACGGAAGAAGTTTTACCTTTTAGTTTCTGGTCGTCGATGATTCTTTGGTTCTTGGCGTTGTTGTTCGGTAGCAAGGGAGTGCAGTCCTCGTCGTCCTTCTTGCCGCGGCTCGAAGCAGACGATGGTTTTGCTGGTCCCTAAAGTTATTAAACATTTCCTTAGAATCATACAATTAATATAGAAAAATTTAAATGTTACTGTCGTCGAGTGGCGACCACGGAAGACGTAGCGTGGGCAAGCGTCCTACTAGGTGGACCGACGATCTGGTAAACGTCGCGGGAAGAGCCTGGATGCGGGCAGCGCAGGACAGTTCATTGTGGAAAACCTAGGGGGAGGCCTTTGTCCAGCAGTGGACGTCATTTGGCTGAAACGAACGAACTGTCAAACGTTTGACCAATATTAATAAATCGTTCGAATGACTTCAGACTATCTCTCTTAACGCTAGGTCATACATGAAATATACACGTTTAGTGTAGTCTTTCAAATAACAGCTAGCTATCTGCAAAATTTATAAGTTTAAAAAAATGCTTATTTCACCTACCTTGCCCTTAGCGGGTATGACGGACTTCTTCTCAGCTTCCTTCTTGAGAGCCCCTGCAGACTTCACGCCGCGTGGTTCGTCCTTCTTGCTTTTGGTCGGCAGCGGCTGAACCGGGAGGTTGGGTCGCGCCTTGTCTAGCGCCGCTTGTACCACTGACTTTGATCCGGGCTGTGAACAAAGGATTATGGTCAGACGTATTTTAAGACATCACATCACATTATCATTAGATTATTATACCAAATATGGTTTCTACTGTAGGACACAACCCTCTATAATTTACCAGTATTTGGCTTCCCACGCCAGCCAGATGGGTTTGGGAGGTCTTGATGTTCGCATATTTTTACCTAATCACCTTTTACGACATCCACTTAAAGAATTCACTTGGTGGAGAAAGAGTGGTCTTTGTTCTACTACATTGTTCTACTCTGCTAAAACCACGTGGCCAAAGGTGTTTCTACAAGTTTCGCTTATAATAGCATAGTATATCAGAGTATCTTCGAAACATGAGTTGAATCTGTGGTCCTTGGAAATTATCTGGGTCTATATGTCACCTTCAAGTTTCAACTTGTCCAGCTGCTTGTGCATTGTTCCAGTCATATATCCTACATTCAACTTGTCCAGCTGCTAGTGCATGGTTCTTCATATCCCACCTTCATTTTGTCCAGCTGCTTGTGCATTGTTCCAGTCATATAACCCACCTTCAACTTGTCCAGCTGCTAGTGCATGAGTCCAGCCATTTTCAACTTGTCCAGCTGCTTGTGCATTGTTCTAATCATATCTCACCTTCAACTTGTCCAGCTGCTTGTGCATGGTTCCTCTCATAATCCGCCTTTATCTTGTCCAGCTGCTTGTGAATGGTTTCTCTCAAATCCCAATATCCCACCTTCAACTTGTCCAGCTGCTAGTGCATGATTCCAGTCATATTTCAACTTGTCTAGCTGCTTGTGAATTGTTCTAGTCATATCCCACCTTCAACTTTGTCCAGCTGCTTGTGCATGGTTCCTCTCATATCTCACCTTCAGCTTGTCCAGCTGATTGTGCATAGTTCCTCTTATATCCCACCTTCAACTAGTCCAGCTGCGAGTGCATAGTTCTTCTCATATCCCACCTTCAACTTGTCCAGCTGCTTGTGCATGATTCCTATCTTCTCATTTCAGCTTGTCCAGCTGCTAGTGCATAGTTCCTCTCATATCCCACCTTCAACTTGTCCAGCTGCTAGTGCATAGTTCCTCTCATATCCCACCTTCAACTTGTCCAGCTGCTAGTGCATAGTTCCTCTCATATTATTATCCCACCTTCAACTTGTCCAGCTGCTAGTGCATAGTTCCTCTCATATCCCACCTTCAACTTGTCCAGCTGCTTGTGCATTTTTCCTGTCTTCTCATTTCAGCTTGTCCAGCTGCTAGTGCATGATTCCAGTCATATTTCAACTTGTCCAGCTGCTTGTGCATGGTTCCTCTCTTAACCCACCCACCTTCATCTTGTCCATCTGCTTCTACATCAAATATCCCACCTTCAACTTGTCTAGCTGCTTGTGCACTGCCTCGTAGTCCATCTGGAAGCATGACCTCATTCTTGAAACTTGATTCTAGTCATATCTCACCTTCAGCTTGTCCAGCTGCTTGTGCATGGCCTCGTAGCCCAGGTGCAGCATGAAAGGGAACACGCAGTCCGCAGTAGCTTTGCGCACGTCGGCCGCGCGGTCTTCCAGACACGCGAACAGCACTGGTACGCACAGCGACAGCTCCTCACGAGGAAACGACTTGGCTGGCACTGAAGAAAATATTTTGGTTAGAGAAGATACTACAGCCTATTGCAATAGGGATGATGACCGGGTAATGAAATCGAAATTCTATTTAGTCCGTCAGACAGATAATAAAAAAAATTCGGAGACATATTTTTAAATTTTTTTCATAATCGAATAATTTATTACAGTAGTAGGTATATTGAGTTGAAATGACGCGTGACGTCACTTTTGAGTAAAAAATCTACTCAAGCGTGACATAACGCGCCATTTCAACTCAATGTAGCACTGTTATTATTTAATTATGAAAGAAAATAAAAAATATGAGTATATTTCCTAATTATCTGTCTAACGGACAAATAATTGAAATTTTGTCATCAGGCTAGATGATAGTGAAAATCCACTTGTAACAAAGTTTTTCATCTATTATTTTCATTCCATTCATTAGGTCCTAGCTACAATTTATTTTTAGACGAATGACAGTTATTAGCTTGCTGATCCGTCGGGCTATGTCAGCGACTTTAGTTCGTTTACGGATCTCCTCATTTCTGATTCGATCTCGTAAAGAAACACCGAGCATAGCCCTCTCCATAGCACGCTGTGCAACTTAAAAAAGTGTTATAAAGGTAGCGGGAAGGCGCTGGATGCAGGCCGCTACCAACCGTGCGATGTGGAAGTCATTGGGGGAGGCCTATGTTCAGCAGTGGACGTCCTGTGGCTGAAATGATGATGATGATGATGACAGTTTTTATGATTTACTTAGCTACTCTGCTTACCATTAGGCAAGTGCTCCGCCAGCCACTGCAGGAGCGAAGCCCTAAGCACCGGCGAGCCAGCCTTGAGGGCGTCGAACACCATTTCTCCGTCGAAGGGCGCCTGAGGCCCCGCCTCCCGGCACCATGTCTCTACACATGACACGGCAGATGTTCGGATCCATTGCTTGCTGTCTCCGAAAGCTGAAAAGAAATGTATATTTGAAATATTATGTTTTATGTGTTACCTCTATCTTATTTGCTTTTCTTATGTGATGTACAGTCGCGGAATGAAAAGGTTCGTCACCTTAGTGTCGGTTTTCGCTTGCACTAGGTACTGTAAGAGTCAAACCTGCCAACATCACCGTGCAAGAAACAGCGTTGCTAACATTTAAATAAGTATGACGTTTGCTAACGAATAAGGTTTTGCTTGTTTATTTTTCTATCCCATCAGTGTAATGTTACAAAATGTAGTTTTTTTTTATTTAATAGATAATGGCAGGTTGCACCAACAAGAAGGTTTTAGTTTATCAATCATAATAATCTTCTTAACAAGTTAAATCTTCAAACAACTTTGATCTGAATAATTTTGAACTTTACTGGCGAACAGTTAAAGATTATTTTCTCTAACTCGAGATTGTTCTGTAACATGGTTTCAAAAGGTAATAATGTGCTCGGGATTCGTTGAAGGAATCAATTTGAAAACTGACGAACCTTTTCATTCCGTGACTGTACATGACAATAAATGTTTCTTTCTTTCTTTCTAAATAACATGAAAATCACGACGGCGACAGGATTTCTCCGTAACACAGTTTTAGTATGCCTAGATTTATCAATCGTCACTCAAAACGACGAGAATAAGCGTCCCCTCAGACTACATTTGTCGGCCAAGTTTGGTTGGATTTGGTATCGGGATATTCTTCATACAAATTAGAAGCTAACCAAGGCTGTCTAAGTTGTAACGACAACACAGAAAGGAGATTTTTATTGTGAGCCAAACCATACTGCATATAGCGTATCTATTATCTAAGATAGAAGATTGTAGCGAGCTCTGAGCCAGCTTCGAGTTTGAGTCGACATACAACGCACCTATTGTCTAACACATAAGGTTGTTGAACACACCGACTCGCAATGTGCAGCGCGCTCTGAGCCAGCTTCGAGTCCTATTGTCTAGGACATAAGGTTGTCATTACCTTGGAAGAAGGCCGGGAAGAAGGTCCGCACGTGCGTCTTGCACTTGGGCCCCATGGCGGTGGCGAGCGACTCGCAGATGTGCAGCGCGCTCTGAGCCAGCTTCGAGTTCGAGTCGACATACAACGCACCTATTGTCTAGGACATAAGGTTGTTATTACCTTGGAAGAAGGCCGGGAAGAAGGTCCGCACGTGCGTCTTGCACTTGGGCCCCATGGCGGTGGCGAGCGACTCGCAGATGTGCAGCGCGCTCTGAGCCAGCTTCGAGTTTGAATCCAGCAGTCGAGCGGAGAGCGCTGCGGGCAACTCGCCGAGAGAAGGCTTGATGGGAGACGAGTTGGTGATGATGGCTTTTAGTTTGTCAAGAGCTTCGTTGCGGACCTGAGAATATGATGTTGCTGTTAATAAATAATAATCAGAGAAAAAATCAAAGCCCTATTAGAACAAGTTAAATATTGTGTAGGTATACTTATTTGGTTCCAAACAAAAATTTTTTCTTTCTTTCTTTCTTTCTATAAATACTAATTAATCAAACTGATTAGTTGGGTCCCGCTGTCAATCTAAGGGCCCTCGCCCACTTCGACTTTTTGTAGCGATGCAGTCGCGCTACTGTAGCGCGTTAGTAGCGCGTTGGCATCACGTCTGTAGTGCGTTGCAAATGCGACTAACGCGCGTTAGTAGCGATGCTATGGCTCTACGAAACGCGCGACAAAATATCGCTGTGGGCCCTAAATTGTTATTCACACATTTTTGTAATGGTAATGCCTTACTCAATATTATTGTTTTTCAGATTAAGCATTTACCCCCTTACTAATAAAAAGTTACACAGTTGTTGATCACTGTTTTAAAATGACACTAGCTTTCCGCCCGCGGCTTCGCCCGCGTGGAATTTTGTCTGTCACAGAAAAACTTTATCGCGCGCGTCCCTGTTTCAAAAACCGGGATAAAAACTATCCTATGTTCTTTCCCGGGACTCAAACTATCTCTATGCCAAATTTCATCAAAATCGGTTGCGAGGTTTAAGCGGGAAAGCGTAACAGACAGACAGACAGACAGAGTTACTTTCGCATTTATAATATTAGTTGGGATTTCCATACTAAACGTCACTTTAAAACACTGTTCAACGAGCGTGTAAGTATCTAAATATATAAAAGGAGAAACTGACTGACTGACTGACAGATCAACGCACAGCCTAAACGGCTAAACGTAGGCACTTGAAATTTGGAAGGGACGTAGCTTAGGTACCGTAGAGGTGCACTAAGAAAGGAATTCCCGAAATTCCCACGGGAACGGGAATTAGCGGGAAAAACGGGATTCACGCGTACGAAGTCGCGGGCGGCCGCTAGTTATTAGTAAGAGGGTTAATATTTAGCTGCCTGATGCGCAAGTTTCTGTAATTACCTTAACACTAGAGTCTAATAACTCTAACAGTCTGCATTTGCGAATTACATTGTTACATTACCTTCCAGTTCTTATCATTAATTTCAGCTACAAGGGCATCCGTAATAAGTGGTGCAATGTCGGTGCGCGGCCTGGAGTCTTCAACGACCGGCGGTTCGTCTTCCGCTGCGTCTTCGTACGCCTCTTCGATATCGTCGCCCATGGAGCCTTTGCTTGCAGACTGGGGATAAACAAATTAATTAGTTCTAACATGCTTCAGCGCCCGCTTAAATTAGTTTTTAGAAAAAGAAACTTATACCAGGCCTGTTCATCTCCGCGAGTTTACATCGAAAACAAAACAAGCACGATGGCCCACCTACAGGATACTATTCGACAAGGCCTCACATACGAGCGAACATTGACTCACGCACGCGTATTCTTGTGTATGATGGAGGAAAATAAAGAAAATGGTGTACTAAATACTGTGCAGTATTTAACTGCCTAAATAATAATAAAAACACAGAATGTACTATTTTAAGTTGCCTCAAGACACTGAGAGGTAAATAAGTAGTTAATATTATTCATGACAGTGGCGGCGTAAGGCGTAGGCGACGTGGGCCACCGCCTACGGCCTCGCGGAACAAGGGGCCTCGCGCATCAAAAATTTTGCTCACATGTCAAATTCAACTTTAAATACTATTAAATATAAATTATTGATAGCTAAACAATGTAGTTAAAAAATATTTTTTTCCAAACAAATTCAGCCATAATCAGACACAAAATTAAGCAACAACACGGTTTTAAGTTAAATTATTCTTTGACGCAAAATTCCTTTAAAAATAATCACTGAATCAAGAAATCAGAAACTGTCAATGAATAGACCATTGACCCGTTTTTTTTATTTTTTTTATTTCATAAAATCCGTCTTCAGGTCGCCACAGAACAAGGTCTCGCGAAATCTGTCTTGCCCACATCAAATTTAGGTCTTGCCCCGCCACTGATTCATGATAATTCATGCTAAATCATGTATTTCCTCCGCCATTTTCCGCAGTTTGACACCTCACGTCACATCATTTTACCGAAGTCAGCCCTATAGCTTCGGCGCAGTGCCGATCACTGACGTTTGTCAACAAAATGGTGCTTGACTCTTGAGATAGGCTAAATTACACCATATTGTTAATGACATTGAGCATAATACACATAACGGTAGCACAGAAACCCCAAAAAAATGGTGAATAGTGTCACGCTGGCGTTATTGTGATGTCCATTGCAATGGGACCTCATTCAGCATGTGTCGTGTCGTGCCCACTGCAGCACTGTCACAAAGGAAGTCGTCCTTCAGTTTTGAGATAAGCTACACATTTAACTTTTAATTTTAATTTATACATTGGCCATAGAGTTATAAATGTTATTGTTCATATCTATTTTTGTGTATTGTTGTTGTTGATCTTTTTAAAAAATAAAAAAATTGAGAAGGACAGGAATGAAAAATGAAACTGATAGGCTGTCCTATTTCTTTGTTTGATCGGTATGTATCTATAGTCTGGTCTGCGAGCACGTAGAATTTTGTCCAATGACCCCAAGCTACCCATCCTTTTTGCTCGCGCGTAATTATGTTGCTGTAGCGCTCGCACACTCACTGCGGCCGCCCGTCGCACAGTCGCGACAGCAATATAATTACGCGCGAGCGACTGGGCTTTAATAGAACCATTCAATCAATCTAGATCCATTTATTTACCTTACTGACAGTCCCCAGCTGTCTTGTGGGCGTGGGCGGCGTGCTATTCGCGTATTTGTCCAGCTCCAAGCTGATGAGCTGCTTGGTGGCCGGCTTCTCGCTGTCGAAGTGGTTGATGAGCGACGGCCCGACATACAGCGACAGAATGCCCAGGAAGTTCACCGTGGAGGTACGAACGTTGGGGTTTGTTGCTGAGAGAGCTTTTTTGCAGTGCGCGACTATGGACCGTATGTTCATGCTGTAAAGAACAAATTAGTTTTTTAGGTAAGGGTCAAAATGAAGGTCCGTAAAAGAAAGGTTTATTTGTATCAATCTACTGAGCGAATCTGGTGGGTAGTGAGATTAAAATAAGCTTCATATGACGTACAGCGATTATTTTTAATTGAATTTGATGACGTAAACTACTCGGAACAAAGTTCATCATGCATTCTATAGTCTGGTCTGCGAGCACGTAGAATTTTGTCCAATGATTCCAAGCTACCCATCCTTATCGCTCACGCGTAATTATCTTGCTGTCGCACTCGCATACTCACTGCGGGCGCCCGTCGCACAGTGTCGCGACAGCAATATAATTACGCGCGAGCGATAAGGATGGGTAGCTTGGGGTCATTGGACAAAATTCTACGTACTCACAGACCGGACTTTAGTCTCTGGGAAAATTCCATAATATAGCAAAAAGACATGGTGTATAGAATTGTGACGTCACGTTTTTTATGCTTGATCATCATTTAATGAAAGGTATCATCCAAAATAACGAACAAAACTTACGAGAATCCAAACTCCTTGATAGCATTGGACATCCAGTTGAACATTTCCGCCTGGACCTTAGGGTTCTTCTGGGAGTCCATGGCAAAGGTCAGGCCCTCATTCAGGATGTGCTCCAAGCCGCACGCCTCTGCAAGGCAAGTAAGGCACTCCGCAGATGTGGCGGTGCACGACGCCTCGCCTAGCTTGGTCACTACGTCTTGGAGGACGAAGTCTGCCGCTGTCCTGTTTGGGGAATTTAATATTAGAGATCATGAGGAGGCCTATCGATGGTTGTAGGTTATCCTTTTATAATGAAATAATAAGTATAGATAACGCAGGAAAGCGTTGGATATTGGTAGCTTCAGACTGACAAATCTGGAAATCATTGGGGGGAGGTTTATTTTTAGCAGTGGACGTCCTGTAGCTGAAATGATGATGACGTAAGCTCGGCTCTCTTGTACTCGGCTCTCTTGTAGAGCGCGCGGTGCAATTCCTTTGCGTCGGCGCTAGTTACACCCTGGACGGTGGAATGGAGTAACGATGATGACGTCAGCCGGGCTAGTGACGTCAGACTCACGTGGTGACGGGGAAGTTCTCGGTGATGTGCTTGCAGGCCTCCAGTCGCGCACGCAACACCTGCACATTGGTGTCTCGTAATCCAGGCTTCTTGTTGAGCGTGCGGTACAACACTTGCGCCTGCGCATCGGCGCTAGTTACACCCCGGACGGTGGAGTGATGATGATGACGTCAGACTCACGTGGTGACAGGGAAGTTCTCGGTGATGTGCTTGCAGGCCTCGAGCCGTGCGCGTAGGACCTGCACGTTGGTGTCCCGTAGCCCAGGCTTCTTGTTGAGCGTGCGGTACCACACTTGCGCATCGGCGCTGATTAGCCCCTGGACGGTGGAGTAATGGTGATGACGTCAGACTCACGTGGTGACGGGGAAGTTCTCGGTGATGTGCTTGCAGGCCTCGAGCCGTGCCCGCAACACCTGGACGTTAGTGTCCCGTAGCCCAGGCTTCTTGTTGAGCGTGCGGTACAACAACTGCACTTGCGCTTCGGCGCTACTCAGTCCCTGGATGGTAGAGTGAGAATGATGACGTCAGACTCACGTGGTGACGGGGAAGTCCTCGGTGATGTGCTTGCATGCCTCCAGTCGCGCACGCAACACCTGCACACTGGTGTCTCGCAATCCAGGCTTCTTGTAAGCTCTGGTTTGTTGTTAAGCACGCAGTACAACACTGCGCTTGCGCATCGGTTCTGGTTACCCTGGACTGGCGGAATGGACGGATGATGACGTCAGCCGGGCTAGTGACGTCAGACTCACGTGGTGACGGGGAAGTTCTCGGTGATATGCTTGCATGCCTCCAGTCGTGCACGCAACACCTGCACATTGGTGTCTCGTAATCCAGGCTTCTTGTTGAGCGTACGGTACAACACTTGCGCTTGCGCATCGGCGCTGCTCAGTCCCTGGACAGTGGAGTGATGATGACGTCATACTCACGTGGTGACGGGGAAGTTCTCGGTGATGTGCTTGCAGGCCTCCAGTCGTGCACGCAACACCTGCACATTGGTGTCTCGTAATCCAGGCTTCTTGTTGAGCGTACGGTACAACACTTGCGCTTGCGCATCGGCGCTGCTCAGTCCTTGGACGGTGGAGTGGAAGCCTTGGACTGCTGTGAGACGGTTCTTCCAGTTGCTGTCCCCTAGGCCTGCGGAATAATGTTAATTTTGTCACAATCATACAATATTTTTACGTCCGTTTTGACATAACAAAAAAAAAACTTGAAAAAATGCAAAAAATTTAGCTTCCTCTTAATTTGTAGGCACAAAGTAGATATAGATAACTCGGGACGGAAGAGAAATTTCATACTACGCCCTATCTAAACCTGATTCGAATCCCTGAAAGTGAGTAGCTGTAGAATTATTTGTATGGTAGTTTACACACTACATTACATTTCTTTAGTTATTTTCTAGATTCGTACATTACATTGTCAGATTACAGATACGGATCGGACGTAGTGCGAAACCTCTCTAAGTAGAATCAGCAAGATTTCAGAAGTTAATAGTTTATACTTCCTAAAAGTATATAAGTAGTATATCCGTTAAGCTAGCACCCATAACACAAGCATTAAGTTGCTTACTTTGGGGCTAGCTGGCGCTGTGTGAAATTGTCCAAAGATTATTTATTTATTTATTTATTTATTTATTCCTCTAAGGCTAAGAACTCACGGCGCGATTTTCACCAGCACCCGCGGCGGTTGTGGAATTGCGGTTTTATTTCAATACTCACGGGAGCGGTTATTTGCGCGGTTATTAATGGTCGCTCGCCGATGGGGCGGTTTTCGCGCTGGCGAAATCCGCCGAGCGGGACCCGCATACAACCGCGCCCGCTTTCGGTGAAAACCGCGTCGTGAGTTGTGCATTAGTTTTTACATAAGTATCTGCATTCTACAGAAGCCGCAACCGCCACGTGCGCGGGTGGAAATCGCGCCATGAGTTCTTAGCCTCAGACAATATAAAACTGAGCTGACCTGTAAGGATGTCAGGGGTGAAGAGCATTTCAGCCCTGGCGTCCACTTCCTCGGGCGACAGCTCGTGCTCGCGCGGCGGGCTGGGCTGCGCGCGCGCCGCCGGCGACTTCTTGGCGCCGCCCACGCCGGCTTTCTTCACCGCTCCTGTACACAAAATCATTATGATAGCCTATGGAAGTCTACTGCTGGGTGTAACTTCGTTGTGGGTGCAATGACAGTTTAACTATCCCCCGGGACTAGGGTTGCCAGGTCCAAAATCACAAAAGCCGGACTTTGTGCTTCATTTGGCCGGACATTTTACCCTAAAAGCCGGACATGTGACGGCAATGCAATTAGTGTCAGCTCATGAGTGAGTACTATCATCATCGGTTGCTAACCAACATCCTGATGCGTGCGCTTCATATGATTCTGTGGCTCGACTTTCGCCTGGCGCGGCAACCAAATAAAAAGCCTAACAAAAGCCGGACAGGCCGGACAAGGCAATATTTGGCCGGACAAGTCCCTAAAAAGCCAAACATGTCAGGCTAAAGCCGGACGCGACGCCTGGCAACCCTACCCGGGACAAACTTGGCCTACCCTGGTTGAGTTTTTATTGGCAGTCAAGTCGTAGATCCTGGCTACACAAGAGTTGCAGCGATGGGAACGAGAGGTGAGAACAGTCCCGTTCTTGCATGTATACCTGCTACAACAATCGCCAGTTCGCCACAAAGCACGATAGATGATCCGAAAAAATACAAGTTTACGATTCTTCAATGCTTTGGTGATCAAGTTAAATCGTCGTCTGATTGAGTTATGTCCAACTCAGCAAGTAAAATTGATACACTATTCGCTGGGTGCGAAGTACTAGGTGGGGGGGACATAATCTATCGCAGCGCTCATGGTGGTCAAAAGTAGAAATAATGTAAGCTCTGTCATCAGATGTATCTGTCAATGGCAAAGCGATTCTACATAATACATTTTAATATCATTAATTAATCGCATGAAAAGGGTCCTACTGGGAACTTAAATAAAAGAGTGGACTGTATTTCGATAGGGCTGTTTTAATAGCCGTTTACAATTTGGAAATAACTAAACTATACAACGTGGTAGTACAAAAATGAGTCACAGTAGTTGTTGTGCACAGATGTTTGCCTTATGATGAGAGCGTGAATTATTGAACTCTGCCCTTGTTTTGTTCTTAATTCTTCTACATCTCGGACTTGTCCAGCCAATACCAACAACTTTCCTTTAAATACGGTTTGTGGTTGGAATTTGATATTGTAACTCTCACAAACCCGGTCTTCAAAACGATACTCATTTCGATCTGAAAACGATATTTAATTTATTACTAGCGATACAGAAACATTTAAATATATTTACTGTTATATAATGAAACCGTTAAAGTAGCTTTTTCTTTTTGTTTTACTGTAAAACTACAACTATAAATGAAGTAAACAAACCCTGACACAATCAAAATTAAACACACTTTTTGGACTTACCTCATTTGATTTGAATGACCAAAATGATTTCAAAACCTTTTTTCCACCCAAATCGTGGTATCACAACAATTTATTAGTTGAAAATATTTGTTATTTTTTCATTTCGATATTTTTTCACAAATATACGACCTAAATGTCAATGTGACAGAACCCACAAAGTTGTGGACGCTAGTTGGCGCTGTAATCGTGCACGGAGCCAATAGAAGAAGAAAAATAATGAACGAATTAAAAAATACACTAATAATGGTAGGATTAGGATCTTTTAAAAGAGAATGGTGTGAATAGTTGCTAAAAAGTCAAAGACTGTCGTATCTTACCTGAAGCTGGGCGTTTGACAGGCTTCGGTTGTGTGGACCCAGCGCTGGGCTTGGCATCGCCTTTGCCCGACGGCGCCACGGCCGCCTTCGGCTTGGCTTCTTTCTTCGGAGCCGCGACTTTCACTTGGATCACCGCCTAAAAATAGCATTGCCAATTAATGAATAAACATTTTAATAAATACAGCACGCTTCGACTAATTAATAATAATAATTAATGCCACTGCTAAATACTAATTGTCTAACCCTTATTTGTCTAACGGTACACTAAGGCCCAGAACAGACGGTGAAACGCAACTGCAACGAAACTGCAACTGCTAGTTACTTTTCAGTTGCATCTAAGTGCAAACTGGTCGCGTCATGTGTGGTCTCTCAACGGACGCTATGGCAGAAACTTAGATGCAACTCAAAAGTAACTAGCAGTTGCAGTTTCGTTGCAGTTGCGTTTCACCGTCTGTTCTGGGCCTAACACAACGACCAGAAAAGAACCTACCACTAAATCTAGAGCAAACAAAATAACATACAGAATACAATTCATAAATGAAATTACATCACCCAAGTTCAGGTATACGAATTAATTATTAGATTTTAATAATTAACAGACGAGTTCATAGATGTAAAATACTGTGGTAATAAATAATAAAACTTTCGTACAAAGTCTCAACTAACTGTGGTCATCCTCTCAGAAGAAGGAACAAGCCGTACCTGCAGTAGAAAATGACTATTCATCTACTTCTATCTTTGAAACCTGAGTATAACATCTCATCAAAGACTCAACAACACACCAAACATTATTTCTGCACTGCAGAAGTAGAGTTTATATTACTTAAAATAGGAGTTTTAACCCTTAACCAGTCAAAAAAGAAAAGTCATTGGTTTTCAATTGGTATCTTCACAGCATAAAGTTCAAATTAATGTGGGCTCTATGGCCACCAGAGCCTGGTTAAGGGTTAAGTCAGCTTGTTATTTATTGTATAATTTACTATTTTGGGAGTGTTTTTATGAAGTTACACATCTGATGATTGTATCTAATGAAAACAACGCATACCTTATCAGCAAACTCCTTGATCTTCTGTTCCTTGAGGTTGTCAAGTTTACCAACGTGCGGCGCGATGTTCTTTTCTCCGACTAGCTTCGTGGCGGTGCCTAGGGCTTCAGCGGACGCGTCTCGGACCGATGGGTCTGTTATTGAAATTGAGTAAATGAGATAAATAAATAATACGTCAAAAGATTTTGAATCTTTTAGTAAATAGGTAGATAATGTTTTAAAATCTATTGGGGAATTCGTAACTTTATGGTAGGTTGTTCTGCTATAAATGTTGAACGTAAGCCTCTCTCGAGATGCGCCACAAAACATGATATGCCACTTTTACACCAATTTCTGTAAGTTATCTTGTGAGGTCATTGATTGTATCGGTCAAAACATAATTTTGTTTCTTTTTCATACTAAAGAGATAATTCTACTAAAGAGGCAAAATATAAACCTTTGTATTCGTTCAACGAGAGAAATTATATCCCTCACTTCAATTATATTCTATGTTATCTATAGTTATTTTTTTTAGCTACTTCCAGTCTTCAACATAGTAAAATTATGTAATAAGAACACTTACCAGCGCTTTCCAACAACTTCAGCAGTCCAGCAACATACGCCTTGATCAGCTTTTTATTGAATGCGGCCGGTTGCGTGTGGCACAGCGCTCTTGCTAGGAATAACGCACTCTCCGCTTTGATAGATGGATTCTTGTTGTCGAACGCTGCCAGCATATCTTCCATTATGTTTTCAAGGTTTGTCTGTAACAATTAAACCACATTATAGTGTGACAATAACAATAGAGTAAGATTTTCTTTCTAAAAATGGGAAAATGGGAATTACGCTACTCACAACTTATTGCAATTTTGACAATGGAAATTTTAATATGGACTAACAAAGACAGCATTTAAGTGTAAAGAGGTTATCAATTTTTTTTAAAGATGTTTTTCTTCATAATTGACGACATAAACCTTCGGAAGGTTCTTAGGGATACGGGACTATTCCCACCTTTCGTCCTGTAACTCCTGTGTAGCCAGGATCTACAGCTTGACCGCCAATAAAAACCTAACCAGTGAAGGTCAAGTCTGTCCCGGAGGAAAGTTAAACGTCAATAGGGATGTTCTGTCTGGTATATCGAGTTTTGTTTACAGATAACTCACGCAAGGGTAGATAGCGTCGATGGCCTCCCGTAGTGCAGCCACCACGTTGGTCTTCTTCTCCTTGAACTTGTCGAGGATGGCCTGCACGCACGCGACGGCATAAGGCTGGAAGCGCCCGCGCAGACCCGGCGCTAACACGCATCATATAGGGATGCTCCTTGACACGTTATATCGACTTATAGTTGACTTACGCAAGGGTAGATAGCGTCGATGGCCTCCCGTATATAGTCTGGTCCGCGAATACGTAGAATTTTGTCCAATGACCCCAAGCTACGCATCCTTATCGCTCGCGCTTAATTATGTTGCTGTTGCGCTCGCACACTCACTGCGGGCGCCCGTCGCACAGTCGCGACAGCAATATAATTGCGCGCGAGCGATAAGGATGGGTAGCTTAGGGTCATTGGACAAAATTCTACGTGCTCACAGACCAGGCTTTAGACTTATAGTTGACTTACGCAAGGGTATATAGCGTCGATAGCCTCCCGTAGTGCAGCCACCACGTTGGTCTTCTTCTCCTTGAACTTGTCGAGGATGGCCTGCACGCAGGCGACGGCGTAAGGCTGGAAGCGCCCACGCAGACCCAACGCTAACCCGCATCAGATTATAGGGATGCTCTTTGTCACGTATATCGACTTATAGTACACTCACGCAAGGGTATATAGCGTCGATGGCCTCCCGTAGTGCAGCCACCACGTTGGTCTTCTTCTCCTTGAACTTGTCAAGGATGGCCTGCACGCACGCGACGGCATAAGGCTGGAAGCGCCCGCGCAGTTCCAACGCTAACACGCATCATATAGGGGTGCTCCTTGTCACGTATATAGTCTGGTCCGCGAGTACGTAGAATTTTGTCCAATGACCCCGAGCTGCCCATCCTTGTCGCTCACGCGTAATTATGTTGCTGTCACGTTCGCACACTCACTGCGGGCGCCTGTCGCACAGTCGCGACAGCAATATAATTGCGCGCGAACGATAAGGATGGGTAGCTTGGGGTCATTGGACAAAATTCTACGTGCCCACAGACCGGGCTTTAGACTTATAGTTGACTCACGCAAGGGTAGATAGCGTCGATGGCCTCCCGTAGTGCAGCCACCACGTTAGTCTTCTTCTCTTTGAACTTGTCGAGGATGGCCTGCACGCAGGCGACGGCATAAGGTTGGAAGCGCCCGCGCAGACCCAGCGCTAACGCGCATCATATAGGGATGATTCTTGTCACGTATATCGACTTATACTTCACTCACGCGTACCGGAAAACGCAGCGTGGGACATCCACCTACAAGGTGGACCGACGACATCGTAAAGATAGCAGGGAAGCGCTGGACGCAGGCCGCTACCAATCAATCAACATGGAAAGCATTGGGGGAGGCCTATGTTCAGCAGTGGACGTCCTATGGCTGAAATGATGATGACTTCACTCACGCAAGGGTAGATAGCGTCGATGGCCTCCCGTAGTGCAGCCACCACGTTAGTCTTCTTCTCCTGGAACTTGTCGAGGATGGCCTGCACGCACGCGACGGCATAAGGCTGGAAGCGCCCGCGTAAACCAAGCGCTAACACGCATCATATAGGGGTGCTCCTTGTCACGTATATAGTCTGGTCCGCGAGTACGTAGAATTTTGTCGAATGACCCCAAGCTACGCATCCTTATCGCTCGCGCTTAATTATGTTGCTGTTGCGCTCGCACACTCACTGCGGGCGCCCGTCGCACAGTCGCGACAGCAATATAATTGCGCACGAGCGATAAGGATGGGTAGCTTGGGGTCATTGGACAAAATTCTACGTGCTCACAGACCGGGCTTTAGACTTATAGTTGACTCACGCAAGGGTAGATAGCGTCGATGGCCTCCCGTAGTGCAGCCACCGCGTTAAGTCTTCTTCTCCTTGAACTTGTCGAGGATGGCCTGCACGCAGGCGACGGCATAAGGCTGGAAGCGCCCGCGCAGACCCAGCGCTAATGCGCATCATATAGGGATGCTCCTTGTCACGTATATCGACTTATACTTCACCGCGTACCGCGTACCGGAAAACGCAGCGTGGGACGTCCATCTACAAGGTGGACCGACGACATCGTAAAGGTAGCAGGGAAGCGCTGGACGCAGGCCGCTACCAATCGATCAACATGGAAAGCATTGGGGGAGGCCTATGTTCAGCAGTGGACGTCCTATGTCTGAAATGATGATGATGATGATGATGATGACTTCACTCACGCAAGGGTAGATAGCGTCGATGGCCTCCCGTAGTGCAGCCACCACGTTGGTCTTCTTCTCCTTGAACTTGTCAAGGATGGCCTGCACGCACGCGACGGCATAAGGCTGGAAGCGCCCGCGCAGTTCCAACGCTAACACGCATCATATAGGGGTGCTCCTTGTCACGTATATAGTCTGGACCGCGAGTACGTAGAATTTTGTCCAATGACCCCGAGCTGCCCATTCTTGTCGCTCACGCGTAATTATGTTGCTGTCGCGCTCGCACACTCACTGCGGGCGCCCGTCGCACAGTCGCGACAGCAATATAATTGCGCGCGAGCGATAAGGATGGGTAGCTTAGGGTCATTGGACAAAATTCTACGTGCTCACAGACCAGGCTTTAGACTTATAGTTGACTCACGCAAGGGTATATAGCGTCGATGGCCTCCCGTAGTGCAGCCACCACGTTGGTCTTCTTCTCCTTGAACTTGTCAAGGATGGCCTGCACGCAGGCGACGGCATAAGGCTGGAAGCGCCCGCGTAGACCCAGGGCTAATGCGCCGAGCAGACGCCCGCCGAGCGCGACTAGCATGACGTTCGTGTCTTTGGATATCACCTGCGAGATACGACCTTATTAGTGAAAAGAATAGAATTCAAGTTGATTTGAACGGAAGTCAAAAGGCGACGACTATGCAAACAGATTCGAAGGCCGTTAGTTACAGCGTTGAATGGTGAATCCGCTCCTAACACAAGCTTAGCTGAACGCAGTGATAAATCTAAAAAAAATAGGTCTCTATTCAAGAAACCATCTCTCGGAAAATGTAGATAAGATACACAATATTCTGGTGGTAATTTTTGAATAAATAAATACTATGTGAGGCTGAGGTAGGTAATAATTACTAATAGAATATTAATTGAATTCAGACTTAATTTATAATTATTAACACTGACCTTTTTCAAAGCTCGAACCAGATCAGCGTAATCTCCCGGTTCCAATTTGGGTGCGCTTTTGAGCAGATTGTCCAGAGAGTCTAGGGCCTCTTTTCTCTCTTGCCATTTCTTCGCCTCCAATTTGTCGTAGAAGTCTTTGGGGATCTTGGAGAGGATCTCCACGGGGTCTAAGAGGTCGTATGGGTCCATGTCACCAGAGTCACCACCGCCTGTCTCGGCGTCTTCATCTTCGGCCGCGCCTGAGAATTAAACTTACATTTATCCCCCTTATTCATTGAAAGAACGAAAGAAAAAATCGTTATTTGACAACTACAATTTTAAATAAAAAATCACTGATCGTTAAGTTAGATTTGCAGTTGCTTTAAAAATGATTTATTATTTGAGCTAGAAAAATAGTGAAGCCGTCGGACTTGTATAAGAAATCTCGAAGACAAATTTCGTCCTCACGCTCATTTAAAAGAAATCACTTCAATTAATTGTAAATACCCTCGGAAGTTCTTATTGCACAGGATCTTGATGTGTGGCTCTCTGACGTCACTCATCCATCTGCTACGATCGCTGTAGGGATACTAACCATCAGTGGAATCAGCAGTAGCTGTGTCTCGGACCCTGTGCTGCTGGGACCGCAGGTATCTGGTGGGCGAAGCGCCGCCGCCCGCGCTGAAGGATTCGCGGAGTTCTTGCTGCACCACCGCTTGGAGAGAGGCGATGTGAGGCTCTATGGCGGCACCGATCCATCTGCAATGACGGAATCAAACATCTAAAAGGAGGAGTATATCTAAAGCGCGATTTTGACTGCCTCACATGCAACACCAACCCTTAGCCTTTTTGCCGATTCATAATAAAATTTAGGTACAAATGACCTTGCATCCAGGTACTTCCCGCGACCTTCACCAGATCGTCGGTCCACCTAGTGGGAGGCCTGCCCACGCTACGTCTTCCAGCTCGTGGTCGCCACTCAAGAACTTTCCTGCCCCAGCGGCCATCAGCTCTTCGAGCTATGTGCCCCGCCCACTGCCACTTGATTTTAGCGATTCTGCGGGCTATGTCAGTCACTCTGGTTCTCCTACGGATCTCCTCATTTCTGATTCGATCACGCAGGGAAACTCCGAGCATAGCACGCTCCATCGCTCTTTGGGTGACCTTGAGCCTTCTTATGAGGCCCACAGTAAGCGACCACGTCTCAGAGCCATACACCATCACTGGCAACACACACTGGTCAAATACTTTTGACTTGAGACTTGGGCAGGCCTCCCACTAGGTGGACCAACGATCTGGTGAAGGTCGCGGGAAGTACCTGGATGCAAGCGGCGCAGGACCGGTCTTTGTGGAAATCCTTGGGGGAGGCCTTTGTCCAGCAGTGGACGTCTTTCGGCTGAAACGAACGAAACGAACGAACGAACAAATGACCACCTTGAGGTAACTGTTTCATTTAAATGAGGGTAGTTTTCTCAACAGAGAACCTTTTCTCAGTTACGAATATTCAGGCGATTTTACAAGAGCAGACAGTTTATAAACAAAAACGGCGTGGGTATCGCAGCGATAGTTAAGAATGACTGCATAAGATGCTAATTATTCGTTAATCAAGATATGAAATCAAACGACCTAAATTCTAAAAACCGTCTTAAGTTTACAGAGAGAAAACAATGTACATAAAAGCATTCATATTTTATTTGGAAGCTATGATTTGTACTACTCTTATAAGTAATTGTAGGCGTCTAAATTGAAAAATAATTGCAAACTTCCTCTTAGACAGCGTAACAATAGGAGACCATAAGAGAAATCTAGGTCACTGTCCCATGGAAAATAATGTACAATAGCTCAACTGATTATACTAATTATTTACACTGAAAAATAGAGTTCAATGAGGTGCATTGTTTAAATTTTTAGAGGCTTAAGTTTTCTTAATCCAAATTATCGAATCTTTGTTTTTTTTTTATTTATTTGGAATAACAATATCGCGGAGAATAACTCGTACAGAGAAGTTTCTAGTCCACACAAACAACATCACACGAGAGATGAGACTATAAATGGTCTTATAGGTCGATCCCAACAAAAAAAAATCGGCCGAAACCAAAGATGTTTCATTTAACAAAGACGCACAAATCCTCAAGGCAAGGTCACATGCACTACACAAGGCAACCAAGTAAATAACCAACAAACCTGTGCATCTCAACGACCAGCGCTTTCATCTCGTCCCTCACGCCTTTGTCCCTGTCTGCCAACAGTATCGGTATCTTCTTCACCATAGGCTTGATGGCTATGACTTTGTTGCCGAACTGCTTGAGGGCCGTGTTCAAGGCCGCGGTGCAGGCCGACACAATCTTAGGGTTCTTATGCTCCATGCCTTTTAGGAGTTCCTCTTCGACTACTTCGTGTTTTTCTATCTCTACGTACATTAGTGTCACCTGTGAACAGTTAGAAAATTCTCATTGGTTTTCGATGAAGTGAATAGGGTACAAATTATAGTGCCAATATGTGGGACAGACAGAGGGGACATCCTACACAGAATTTAAACAACCGTCTAATAACATAAAAGCAGCGTCGTTTTATCTGATTTAATTAAGAAATCTGGCACAAGTTTCAACACCTTTTAGTAGCATCAGTCTAAGTTGGGGTCCTAAATTAGTGCAGTTGCAAATGAATAAAACCGTTTTGTTGATAATGTAGGTACTAACTGGTAGATTAATAAGTTGTTAGCATATTTTAACATGCTACCCTCTTACGCTCGTGTTCACACGTTCAGACCTTTAAAAATATATCTTACCTGCAAAGCAAGGTCTTTAGTCTTCGTTTTGGGCGCGGCTATGCACTTGGCAACGATGCCTGACATCACCTCGCCGGCCGTCTTGCCGGCATGTCCGCAATTTTCTACGAACACCAGTGCTGCCTCCAGACCTAGAAAGTTTACATCGACCTGAATCCTGATTCAATCTCAAGGACATTGAGGCTTTTTAATACAATTGAAGCTACTCTATCTAAGTGGGGCACATAGTTCGTAGAACTGATGGATGGATAAAAGTTCTCGAGTGGCGACCACGGGCCGGAAGATGTACTGTGATGGGCAGACCTCCCACTAGGTGGACCGACAATATGGTGAAGGTCACGAGAAGAAGAAGAAACGGACCAACATTACAATAACTTATGATTTGTAGAATTTTAATATTTATAACATTAAATAATTTACGCCTGAGAATGAAAATAGTTTTGAGCGTGGCGCGGTTTTATAATCTTGTTACGGCGCATGAATGTGTCTTAAATGTTCTGTCTAAATAAATCTTTTAATTGAAATAATCTGCCAAAAGTCCACGTGAAAATAGAGGTGTTTTTATAATTAGATATGGCAACAGACATGCTCATTATAATCCCTTGTGGTAAGCACGTGTGGATGCCATACAACACGTCTCCGCCGCGAATAAACGTGCTGTCGGATTATGCCGATCTCTTTAATAAGCTAAAAACGTTGTAAATTTGACTTTGAAGTAAAAAAAACATCATGATAATATCAAATGATCTGGTAAAGGTCGCGGGAAGAGCCTGGATGCGGGTAGCGCAGGACCTTTCATTATGGAAAACCTTGGGGGAGGCCTTTGTCCAGCAGTGGACGTCATTTGGCTGAAACGAAAAATAACAGTCAAAATGATAACCTTTTTTCATGAGCCCTTTCTTTCCTCACCACTAAGTTTGGAAGGGCTCTGTCAGATTGATGAAATTACGCATTGGCATATAAATGTACAATTAAATTAGTCAAGTAAAACTCAACATGAAGTGCATGATTCCCTTTATAAATCCCATCACAGCATATTCTACAGTAGTGAAATACTAAGCACAGACTGCCAGGCCAAAAGTGTATTATTGAAGAAATATTGATTAAAAATTGAAACCTACCTCCTATTACTCAAATGAAAACGAATGCTCGCCACTACTCGCGTAATTGATTGTCAATTATTAATATCAATACAATTCTGAATAAATTACAATATGAAGTAAGTTATGCTTCAATGAACTGTTGGACAGCAAAATGTATTTTGTTGTTTCTAGATATTTGTGAATTAAGATTTAGTTTTGTTCTTACTTAAAAGAATAAAAATAAACTATTACCTATCCACATCATATTAAATAAAATTTTCATATTCCCTGCCTTAATGAATTTTATGAAAACCTACTAAATCACTATCTACTAATACTTAACTTCCTCCAGAATTCACTAAATTAACTAAATCAGTCCTATAATGCTCAATGGTTAATTACTATTTGTAAAAATTTCATGCAACATACTGTCAAAAAAACAGATAGGTAAGTAATTTTATAAAGGGTTCATTTCTTTAAACTTGTATGAAATCCTGCATGCATAAAAAAATGTATGAACCTAAATCATTAGATTAGATCAGTGGTTCTTACTTAACCTTTAAGTCACGAGGGACCATTTTACCAAATTTCTATCTAGTCAGGGACCACTTTTTTTTTTTTTCAAAATCCTATGAAAGGGGAGGTCGATTACTCGCCCACTGTGCGCCGTTTGCGTTGTGTTTACTCGACTCATCACGTCACGTCACTTGTTTATTACGACGTCTTCGCGGACCACTTGGAATGCCTCCAGGAACCACCGTTTAAGAACCACTGGATTAGATCATAATAGATGGATCAAGATTCTATGAAAGTAAAGTAGGAAGTCGCCTAGACATTTCAATTGACTGGTACAGACAACAGAACTACAGACTTTACATTTTTATTGCAAATTCATCTGTATTATAAGTACATAAGATCCTAGTGCTTAGCTTGAGGTGCTGTCCCTGTACATGGAACAGGTATACTATGTGCACTATCTATACTAAATAAATGCATAACCTTGTTGATTTATTTACAACTCAAGTAGGATTTCCTAGTCACTTTCTTAGTGGCTTTATGTTTAGAAAACCAACTGCTAGAAAAGATTTAACGCATTGGAATTTTAATATAAATTAGCTATTTTACTTGAAAAAAATATTTACAATTATAATATTTTTATGCACTGAATCATACTAACTAGATATTTAAGCAAAAGTGGCAATGAAAAAATATTTATGTTCTTTTGAAAAAGTTATTTTCTTTCACTTTCCAGATTTGAAAGTAATCAAATGGTTACCTACTTGGTTTTGAAGATGTTTATAATTCTACCATGCAAAAATACATGTCAAAGATATAATGATTAAATTACCTCTTTCCTGTGCCACTGCATTGCTGTCTGTGACAAACTTCTTAATCAGTCCCAGGTATTTGTTCCACTCCGGTGATTTTTCATCATCAATCTGATTGAATAGTTTGATGGCTTCTTCATACCCTGCCAATCGGGCTTTCCATAATTTGTGGACACACTTGTCGTCGGTCGGCAACTTCTTATACTCATTCTCATCCTCCATTTTGAAGGTTTGTCAGTTTTAATTAACTATTCAGCTGTCTTTGTCAATTTTTTTTTCTTCTCTACAACAAATAAAAACTTTCAGTTGTATTCTGTTTTAAAATAAAATATTTTCATTATTAAATTTAGATTGTAATTTTATTTATTATTTTAATGTTTAATTTAATTTTCAATTTAATTTTTAATTTAATTTATTTGTCTCCATTATTATTATTTTTATTGATTTAATGTGATTTTAATTTGATTTTAATTATTTAATGCAATTATTATTATTATTGAAATTTTATGGGCCCTGGCCTGAAATAAATGAATTTTATTTTTATTTTTTATTTTTATTATAAATACAGAGAAAACATACAGCAGACGTAATTTATAACAATTTATTAATGTGCAATCTGCATCTAATGACACAAAAACTTATTTATGAGGCATATAAAGTCAATTAAGTATTACAGGTGTCTTTCAAATATTAATTCAATTCATTGTACAAAGCTATTAAAATATTCATTAGAACACACATCAATCAATGTTTTAAAATGATCTCTTATAAATAAACAATACTGCGATACAAAAAGCACTATTTTACTTCACCAGCTACACGTCATGTTGATCACACTATACATGCACATAAACAAATTATTGTAACCTATCATTCTCAAGTTATTGCCTTTATAAGGATGCTTGTTAGCCCTGAATTTTTACTGTGTATGTATTATTTTGTAAAACAAGTCAAATGACCTTAATGCAGTTTCCCTAGTAAGTTCAAGGTAAATTAATTGTTTTACGTACGTCGACGAGTCCAGACTAAACGTAACTACTTAACATACTGAACATTAATTAACAATAAATTGGCAAACCGCGAACATGCAATATGCAGACGTCAGTCTACCTTATTAATAAATAAATCTTTCTATTACTGAGCCCACTTTCTTTTCGGCGTGGGCGTTGATGTTATCAGGCTATAAACACGAAATCTTTGTATATTACAATGGAAAAATGATGATTCAATAACAATTCCCTATAAATCTCAATAAGACCAGTTGGCCGTATTAATGCGGAACAAATAGTTAATTACGAGCTGGTTCATTTATAGATGTGCCCAATAAAAGGTGAAATGTGAAACTAGATCGCATCTGCAGCGGCTACGAGGTCCGCAACGGTCACTTTCTCACTTTACAAACAATAAAATCAAATGTCACGAAACTTACCGTTATAAACCTATCTTCGCCGAGTCTTCGCGACAAAACTTTATTAATTAAGCACTGACAGGATAAACAGTAAATGAGTCACATTATCTAAAGAAAAGATTTATTGTAACCGACAAAAAGAACTGCCTTTTTCTTTTCCGTCGTCGTTTTTTTGAGTTTGCGAAATGAAAATGGACGGAAAATGTTGCCAGAGGAACAGTATTTTTATCTACCAAATGTACAAATGTCATCTTTCTTTTTGACAGATATCACTTCTGTTTATATTTTATTTTCATGTATTGTGTTGTCTTATTTGTGATGTCTGTTTGTTTTAGGTATTTAAATTTGCTTAAATTGCAGCTACAAAATTATTTATTTTTATAACCACACTGTGTAAAAGCTGCGCACGTGACATTGGCGGAATAGTGTGCCCTCAGTGGCGAAAAAACGCAAGTTCATCGCCATAAACCAAAGAAGAAGAAGAAGACAGATATCACAATTAAAATTTTGGAATTTATATTGATTCTATGCATTTAACAATAGGTTGCGCAGCGTCACTTGAGGCAATCAACACAACACAAGCAACGATTTGTTTGAGCTTTATGAGGTTTTCGCCCGTATATATACGCAAACGATGCTTGCTTAAAGTGAAGCAGCAAATGGAACGCACAGTGTTGAATAGAGTTCTGTAATTTGTTCGTTTGTCACCCTGTGCGTCCACGCTCACTGTGAGACTTCATAGTAATGTTTGTGAAATCGGGCGTTTGTCTGACAAACAATGCGTAGTCTGTTGATTGAGTGTTGACGGACATGCGCTTTTTGTCGCGCTTGCACACATTCATTTTCTAATATTTAATCAAAAGCGATGTATTTGATGATATTTGAACTTGTGACTACAAAGTTTCGAAACCACAGGTTCTGCGCCGCCAGCATACAGACACCTCCCGCGCGCGACCGTCACCAGACAGATCGACGACTCTCAACTCAGTCAGTACATATCAGTGTGATGTTATAATCTACCCACCTAAATATGTAACAATTTAGCAGCAGCATTTATCCTACCCAAATGTAGAAATTTCATTGATATGGCAATTTTAATTTTTTACCATAGACTACAATAACGGCATTGAACCTAAACTATTTCACCACTGAGTTTTTTAACTAGAACTGGAGAAGTTATATGATAAATTACTAGTTCTAATTAAATGTAACACATTGATTTATAACATAAACATAATACACACACAAAAAAATGAATTATGCACAGGATTAAACAAACAAAATGACTCATCATCATACCACTAATCAGCTGCTCGATCAGTATTCAATATTCATTCGAAGTTTAAATTGATTATGGCCTTAGGTTATGGCCTGTCTGTTTTTAGTTTAGATGTCTTTGCTTGTATCGTATCATTAAAAAAAATCATGCGCCGGAAACGCAACAACGCTTCGTCGCCGTCATTTCAAGAAAAAAATATCAAACAGTTTTGCGAGCACCTGCGAACGAGACGTGTGTTACGTTTTTATCGTGACTACTGTGCGTTCGCAATATTGTAGATAAAGACTGTTTTATACGATTATCTTGATATAGAATCGTTTTTGCTTTATTTTTGTGCATCAAAAGTTTTATTTGAATGGAAAAATAAGGACATAGACGTGTATTTTATGGAAAATAGACTATAAATAGTGTTGTGTTTGTATTCGGTGTTGGGGCAAAATATTGCGATAATAGAGAGTTTCTACCAGCTGCTTGGGCATAGTATGCTTCATATTGTAAGTACGTTGCTCTTTTCTCGTATTTACTATTATAATAATGTGTTCTTCGTTATTTTCTCATTGAGGTGACCGCAAATTTCTTGTAACATCCTAAAACAGTAGGTAGGTGGGTATGTAAATACTTTGGTGAGGATTTCCTTAGTTTTTGTATTTTAGCTTAGCTGTTTTGATATTTGTTAAATATTCATTTACTTTAAATTTCAAATTTAACTCGATTTCTCAGAGCAAGTCAGTATTTACATAGCACAACAAAGGAATAGTCTTTGTGGAGTAAATTATATTGAAAGGAGTTACATATATTTTCCTACATTGCTAGTTACAAAGCAAAAAATATGGTAAAAAATACTCACCTACCTTACTTGTGAAAGCTTTGTAACGAAAAAAAGGGCCAGAATTTGGAATACAATCATGTAAATTAAATACCTACCACATACCTACCTACCTACCTACTTAAATAATGCCTAGTGGTTTTAAAAACAAAATGTATTGACTTATTTCCATGAATCTATGCATGTAGGTACAATTTATAGGCTTTTCTTACCAAAATATTGAGACTATTATGTCCAAAAACTAGTAGCTTAAAATTTTAGGTATTTTCGTTTTGCCTAGGTATAGGAAAAGTGTTAATTTTTATTTACTGTAGAATAAACATTCAGTCAATATGTATATTAAAATAAGTGTCACATACAATCTGTACATAATTTAATCAGCTGTTCCAAGACTCATCAGGATGACTTAAGTTACTGTACTGCTATATAATCATAACAAACTAGTAGGTAGGTCCTACTTTCTACTTACCATGTTTGAACTCAAACTAGTTTTGAAAAGGAAACCAGTTTTTTGGGCATCATAGCAGTATCTTTGTTTGATGTAATTTCTGTGTGCTCTACTGTGTGCCTTTCTTATCATTTTAATTTAAAATGTGATAGTGATCATCATGTATTCAATTTTTCTATGGTTGTGCCTTTAAATAAATAAATAAATCCAAAATAATAAACACTAATATTAAAATTAATTTAAAATAAGATCACATCAAATTAAAGTACAGATTTAAGACATGTTTATGGTCTTTATCTGTGTACATTATTTATCACAATTTATTTGTTCTGTTTATGTTAAAAAACATTATTATTTCATTAGATGAAAATAAATATTTTAAGGACTAAACATGTATTTTCATCATTAACACAAAGTAATCTTGTTCTAAGAAACTATAAAATGCAGTGTTGAAAAAATATTGATGAATATTCAAATTAACAAAAATCTTCAGGTAGGCAGGCAGGTAGGTCCTAGTTATTTAGTAATGTTGATGGAATGCATTTTCACCACTTCCTTGTTTCCAAGTTCCAACGTTTTTCGTTTTTACCGTATCGCCGGCGATTCAATTAACTTTTTGTTTCTAGCCAATTTAGGTAGGTTAAATTGATGTGGTATTGGTAATTAGGTTAAAATTCACTGTCGTAATCCCAGAATGCCATAATCATTTAATTGTGTTCATGTCAAAGCAGGCAATGAGTGCATGCTAAGCACCTGTTGAACAAAATCGTAATTAATTTAACTTTATTTAGGTTTGTTCTATTTATCACTATTATCGGTACAATGACAGGATACAGTCTAGTCATGTTACTTTACATGACTTACGTTTTTTGTACGAATGTAATAGGTATTTAAACAGGGGCGTAGGCGCGTAGCTTCAGCATCAACGATATCAACCGTATCAATGATACGGGGCCCTCGACTTACAGGGGCCCCCAGGGTCGGAGAAGCTTAAAACCAGTGTCCTGCGCCGCGATGGATGGAGATCCCATCTGCTCAAAAAATTAGACTAATTTTGCAATGACCTTTTTTTTTAGTTAAAAAGTCCTTCAAGTACCTATTTGTTTTAGAATGTCCATTTATGGAACATCCAAGGTACGAAACTGTCCATCAACATCCAACTGACAATGACGAAAAATCTACAATATTCATTAATGCATAAGTAGGTAGGTATCACACAAAAGTAAACACTGGCATAAGTGCTTGTTGTCTCAATAAGAAAATATTTATCGTACAGACCTACCTGTAAAATAAATAGATGATTACTGCCTTATTTATCACATAGCGACATAAAGTTTCGTTAGCCTCGATATTCCCAGAAAAATATCTCATTACCAAGTCTGAGGATTTTTTCTGGGAATCTGTCTGAAAAATGTTCCTCCTATGTGACTATAAATGCGTCACTTTACCTGTTCGTGCCTTCGATTTTAATTGGGTTATTAAAATTTATTTGGTAGAAGTAAATAATTCTGACGAATTTGAAGTTAAATACGCTGTCGCAATAGAAGGGAAACAATAACTTTCCTACGAATACTACAGAAGATGCAAATGCTGCAAATAATTGATCATTTTCCTTTCAACCACTCATATCTACTTTCCAAACTTGGAAGATAGTGTTAAGAATCGGATGAAGTTTTAAGTTGTAATCGCACACTTTAATTGAATTGGTTTTCCAGTTTTCCTTGAGCTGGCAGGTAGCTTAAAAGTTAAAATTGCACAAGTTACGTGTGCTCCGTCACGTAGTAATGCATCGGGCAATACCCGCACCATGTTTGCTGCAGCCGCCATCTTTGAACTTAATTAGGGCTGTACTTTGATGTCAATGTTATCGAAAACAAAGGCAAGCATAAACAAAATAGGATATTCAGTGATGTCCACCATTTTAAATAAACAACTTGAAAAAATCGAACTGCCTAAAGCGGGAATCGAACCCACAACCTTTCGCTTGCCGGGCGACTGCTCTTCCAACTGAACTCCCGACGTTAGGCAGTTAGATTATTTCAAGTTCTTTTTAAGATTTAGTTTGAGAAGCGACTCTAATCGCTAAGAAATTTTAATCAGGAGCCATTGATTTGAAGGTTTAATTCAATCAATGAATAGTAAAAATCTTGGTGGGTTAATGGTAAAATCAATAAATTATAAATAAGACAAGTGAAATACATGTCGTCAGTGGAAAGGAAAAAGGACTAAAGCGCCATTTTGGCCAAAATGAGTTATATACATTGTTGGATAGGATTTTTTTTTCTGCGTCGATCTATCTAGGTTTCAACTCAATCCGATGACTTTTTTGGCGCTTTAGCACTCTGAAAATTTTAAGTATTTCTAAAATCACCGCCCTCGTCGCTGCTAAAACGACGTGTTTTCAGTGTTTTTGCAACAAGTGTCTCGTAAGGGTTTTTTTNAGCACTTATTGGTGGCTGGATATTTGATTATAAATGGAGGTTAGCAGTTTTACCCTGACTAACATTTAATGAATTTTCATGACTCTTTTTCTAAAGCGACACCTATTTTACGATCTAAAAGAGCTACAAACCTGGTGTTTTCATTAAAATTTAGGCAAAAAATCAAGAACACGATTGCATTTTAAAAGAACTGTTTAACATTAATATCAAAAGAGATACGAATTTTTTTCGTAAAAAAAAAACTTTGATCCTCATTTCCCACAAGTACGGTTTTGGCGCTTTAGTCTTTTTTCCTTTCCACTGACGATGTGTACTTGCGTTTTCAATTTTTTAAATTATTCTTTATTATTTTCACTATTCCTTTTGTTCGGATCGATGTCTACATTCAAGTGTCGCAGCACATCCCTACAAATATGATTCACGGCCATACAAGCTGGGACCACTGGACTCTTATAGCAAAGTATGCATGTTGAATGCGATTCTTTATTGATAAATAGTTGCAGCAGACTTCCGCCACCACAAGGATCGTTCTGTGACGTAAGCGTTAGTATTAATGTCGCCTGACTTGCTAATGAACTGATTTTAAATTATAAAGTGTGACACAGCTTAGGAGAATTGTTTTTGGTCTAGATAAATACCGGTTAACGCAATGAAATATTGACATGACATGGCTTTTGTTTTTCCTAACAATAAATGAAAATTGTATTAGATCGCAGCCAATTATGCCCACTTTACACTATGCTGTAAACCGGGGTTTCCCAAACTATGGGTCGCGCTCGCGACCCAGGTGGGTCGTGAGCGAACATTGAGTGGGCCCTGCCTGTAGAACGACACACCACCCTACCCATCCAACCGCTGGGCAGCGGGCGAAATGTCCTATAGGTGGGTCCCGAGTTTGGGAACTTGTATTAGATGAGTCGTAGCCCAGACAACTTTGGGAACCACTGCTGTAAACTGTTCCTAACCCTTCCTCCATCGCAAAATGAGTCGTCCCAATGTGACTATAAAAATCTTTAACATGTCAGGCGTCTATTAATCACGTTTTCTTTTATTAATTCTCATTTGGGACGTAGGCAACTAATTCGCATACTTAGTGCTCATTTACTTATCCAATTAAGCATAATGAATGAACGCTTCGAACATGTGCTCGCACTCGCCTGCTCACTTCTTCAGTAATAGGATTTAGGTCTGTCTGTCACATGTGGGCTAGTTTACTAAGGATTCCATATTACTTTGATTTAATTAATACCACATGCACGAGCACGGTGCATGCAAGTTTGAATGGTATTAGTGTTAGGTGTTGTTGTGGTTTCTAAAATTCGCAAAACGTTTTAAATAATAATAATAATTGTGTTCAACACTCTCATGTTCGAGAAGCCCATCAGTTATGGAAACTGTTAATCATATTATTTGTGTTATAGAAACGCCACTATATTACTGTCGCCTTGATGCAAAATCGCACCCATTGTAACTTAATAAGACGCTTCAGTGGCTTAATGTGCCGTCATCCATACCTCACTGTTATTATAGACTGACCTATTTACTAAACAAACAACATAAGCACGAGCTTGATCATATTCCGAGAAAGTATCAGTTACCTAGACCCATTGGAAGATAACTAAGGTTGTATTGTTTGGGGTCAAATGTCTTTGTCCTGTTTAGATAGATTCATTTGAAAAAATCACGCAGTAAGCATTCGATTGTCTTCATCCTCAGGCGAAGTAGGTAGGGTAAGTGCGCTAGTTTTCGTCCAATTATCGGAGTTGCCAACTTTGTGAT